ATTCCTTCTAGCCCATCCTGATTCTCTTTCCTCCTCCTCCTCTTTTTTATATATATCACCATCCTCCACCCCCCCGGACCTTTCCTTCATTGTATACATCTACTCCTGGACACACAACAAACATTCAAACACTAAACACCAACATACCATATCACTGTCCTATACCCTACATTGGCAGCCATGGATCTTGCGCAGCTAGTCACCAACTATGCCCCTCCGTCACCTCGACGATCCTCATACTCTTCTCAACAGTCGCGGCGGTCATGGGGAGCTGCTTCGTCAAACATCAAGGCAACCCCATCTCCATACACAACCATCATGGAGCTGCCCCCTTCTCCTGAGGCCGAGCCCCATTGTCAGATACTCGCTACCACCTATCTCAACCCTCTTCCCAGGGCATCGAAAGCATATCACCTCCTCAGTCAGCCAGTAAGCAGCCCATGTGTTACGTATATGTTGCAAGACAACGGTCACTAACAAATGAATATAGAACGACCAAGATTTGATGATTGGGAAGAGGAAAAGTCGGAGAGCAAGTATAGAATGATACTTCCTCCAACTCCTCCACAACGACCAGAATCTAGCTTCGAGAAGTCTCGACGCTCGCCATCTACTTCCAGCACTCCGACTTTGGTTGGATCTTCCACCCTTACTAGCCCGGCCTCAGATGCCCCCATCGAGCGTCCAGCTTCTAGACTTTCTTACTCCAACCGCTCCTCCTTCTCAGAGGTTCGCGAGGCTCGCTATCCATCCCCAGCCAACTCAAACGTGGCTCACTTTGCCTCTCCCGAGCAAAAAGCCTCTTCACCAGAGTTCTATCCCGCCAGTGTGCCAACCTTTAAGCCAATTCCAGTTGCACAGCCACAGCCACAGCAACCCACCCAGCATCACCACCACCAAATGGTCAACATGGGAGAAATGACTGCTACCACCACCTGGCAACACCATCACTACTTTCCTCCATCAAATACTACGGCCTATCCACTCAACCACGACAGATATATTTGTCGCACCTGCAACAAGGCCTTCTCCCGGCCTTCCAGCCTCCGCATTCACTCTCACAGCCACACTGGTGAAAAGCCATTCCGTTGCCCTCGTCCTGGCTGTGGCAAGGCTTTCAGTGTACGCAGTAACATGAAGCGCCACGAGCGAGGTTGCCACAGCGGTCGTGCCACCCAGCGTGGCCCCCATGTCGGTTGAAGTGCGGGTCGAGGGGTACAACAGAACAATAAAGTAGATCTTGCATAGTTTGGTGAAAATCATGCATATGATTTGAGATCATCCTCCCTCTGGTAGGGTTGGAAATCGAATCAACAGACTACTTCACGGGAAAGCTGAGCCGAGCCATGAACTATATAACTTATCTCGGGCATCCCATTTTTACATCCACACTATCAGCCCAAAGCTAGACAGGACTTGCATATATCGCACATGTCCAGGTCAGCTATGGCAGGTGGAGTCGATATCATCGACATGGCCTATGATAGAGTGTCACATCCTCTAGTGACGATGAAGGCCGCCAAGCAGGGGGAGTTTTCGGGGTTACAATTGCAGGGCGAAAAGCGAGAGGCGATGTGAATGTATCATAGAAACATATATACTGATGAATGATATGACTATCTCATTTGTTATCTTTAAAGTATCTTCTTATTTTGTAACCTATCTCAATTGTAACTAGGGTATGGCGAGTGGCAAGGGATCATTACGTATATCATGCCTGTCTACCTGGGTACTTCTGTGTGACATTCAACTATCAATTGTAATCATCAAAACACTTGTTTTTGTTCCTTGCACAGCCATCTTGACATACATTCGGCTAGCTAGTGGTTACAGGGGTGAATTTGTGTTTAGTCATCTTCTGCCCCACGCTAACTCGATAGCATCGGCAGCCCCTAAGTTAACAACCAAACCAACCATGGATGATCTTCAAGACAACGACATACAAAGATACCCTTGCGCCAGCAAACCAGTTGGACAGCACATCATGCAGTTCCTACGTCAAATATATCCTTACTCCGTACACGAAGGGCATTAATTAGATGTATCAGTACCATTTTGTTACCGTGAGATACCATTTTGCAAAATAGCTTTAAACATGTCAGAAATCACACAACGACGCAAAGTTGCAGCAGAGGGCTCAACCGCCCATGGCCACGCGACGAGTAAAGGCCAAGCCCAGCCACAGCCGAAGGACGGTATGGGCCATGCTTTCAAGGAGCTGGTCGCTCTGCTGACTTTAGCCAGGATTGCTTTGGCTCATCCCTTGGAGACGACTCGATTGGTTTTCCTGCTCATGCATCAGTTTGCGAGACACATCTATGGGTCGGCATTTCGGCCGGATCGTGATATAACAGACCAATCTAGCAGAGTTATTTTGATTACGGGAGGTGAGTGACTTACTACCAACCACCCTTTAATTATACGGCTGTTCATGTTGATGTGTTTTGTAGGAAACACGGGCCTTGGAAAAGAAACTGTCCTGGAGCTAGCGAAGCACCAGCCTGCAAGGATATATCTGGGTGCTCGAAACGAGCAAAAGGCCCGTAAAGCAATGGAGGATATCCAGTCACAGCTAAACCAGACGATTGACATTCGATATCTACCCCTTGACCTGTCATCGTTTAAATCTATCCGGGAAGCCGCCCAGTTATTTACCGGAGAATGTGAGCGTCTTGATACCCTCATACTCAACGCCGGAGTGATGGGCCTGGACCCTTACCGGACCAAGGACGGATATGAGGTGCAGTTCGGCACTAACTACCTGGGTCATTTTCTCCTGACGTCACTATTGTTACCTACGCTCAAGAAGACAGCTGCCCAACGTGATTCGGATGTTCGAGTTTTATCCATCTCGTCTGCTGCCTGGCAGGCGGCTCCATCCTCGCCATCGAGACTGCTCTCCCTTATGACTTCTACTGACGAGTTATTGACGTGTAACAGGTGGGCTAGATACGGGATTTCAAAGGCTGGAAACATTCTGCTTGCATCGGAGCTAGCAAGACGGCACCCGGATATTACGAGTGTCTCGATTCATCCTGGCATTATCCTGACAGCCTTGTACGAACAAGGCAGGGCGGCCACTATTGCACTTAAATATGGCCTTGCCTTCCTTGTTCCCTTCGCATCTAGTGAGAAGAACGGGGCGAGGAACCATCTATGGGCTGCCGGGTGTGCTAAGAACCAACTGCGCAATGGCGAATACTACTCTCCTGTTGGAATACCGGACTGGAAGAACCAGCTTGTTCACGACGGGGATACCGCACGGCGTCTGTGGGAGTGGTCAGAACAGCAAGCTGCAAACAGCTAATCTCAACTATATATATCCACCAGTTATTAGTATATATGTATATCCTAACCTGCAACAATTTGTATAGCCTTCCTATATAGAGACCTTGAAATCCGATTTCCTCATTGGGAAGTGAATTAGGGCTAATCGCCCGGATAAACCCACCAACCGAATGATATCTTGGCGTTTATTGCTCAACACCGAAAAGAGCAAAAGCGAGCTTGATTTCTGTAGCCGACGTTTCGACCAGACGCCTCCAAGACACAGATATCTACCATTCCAGACGGTGAGTTGCCGCCCGTGATAAAGAGTCCCCTAATGTGTGCACGATGTGACTACTTGGGGAGCGCCTCGCGGACTGCAAACGGCAGGCAAAACGAGCTCCCCGATTTTTCCGTTCCCCCCACAAATAACCCTGATTGGATGTGTGCAAGTGAAGCTAATTGAATATCGATCTGGACGTCCCTTCGTCCTTTTGCGATTCTTTATTCTACTCTAGACCTTTCTCCCTTTCAACCCGCTCATCACTCTCAGACGTTTTCACTCGTCTCATTTACGCTTTCCCCGAATCCGTATACTTCGGTGGAAATTCCTGGGCTTGGAAATTCAAAGGAACATAGATTATAGGAAAGAAGGGACGGGAGACAATATTCATCATGGATCTCGCAAAGTTACAGAAGATGCAGCAGAGTGTGCGAATTGGTATGACCCTTTTGCTCTTCTTTCTTGCCTATGGCTGTGTTGTTTCTTGGTGCCAACATCAACACCGAAGCTCCCCGGGCTGTGTTGGGAGTTTGACAACCCTATATCTTACTCGCCCGCTTTAACTGTGGTTTAATGCATTAAATATAAGTATATCGCCTCGCTAACATGACTGTCAATTGCTTCTAGGGTACGTTTAATTCTCTCCTTTGATTGTTGGATTATTTCAAACACCCCACTATCGAACCCCGTCCGCAGGCTACAACTTGGAGGGGCAAGGAGAACATATTGTTTATTTTCTGGCAAACCTCAGTGGATTGAAAACCATCGACAACGTGGATACTTGTGGCTGACGACCTATACGATGCGAATAGTGGAAAGGGAACCCCCCGCCGTAAGGTGAAGAAGGTCCACAAGTCCTCTGGAACCGATGACAAGAAGCTCCAGACTGCTTTGAAGAAGATGAACGTTCAGCCAATTCAAGCGATTGAGGAGGTCAACATGTTCAAGGAGGATGGCAACGTCATCCACTTCGCTGCTCCCAAAGGTAAAGCTCACTAGCCATTTGGACTCTCTTGCTCTAGATACGCTAACTAGCAATGTAACGGAACAACAGTCCACGCCTCTGTTCCCAGCAACACCTTTGCCATTTACGGCAACGGTGAGGAGAAGGAACTCACTGAATTGGTTCCTGGTATCCTGAACCAGCTTGGCCCTGACTCTCTTGCCTCCCTTCGCAAACTTGCCGAAAGCTACCAGAGCATGCAAAAGAAGGAGGAGGGTAAGAAGGATGACGAGGATGATGACGATATCCCAGACTTAGTTGAGGGCGAGAACTTTGACAGCAAAGTCGAATAAATGATATACCTTGAGGGATAAATTAAAATCTATCCGGCCCCGACAAACAAATGAAGCTACCTTGCCTAAACTTCAACTAACAACGCCTCCCTTTTTCAACTTGAAATCATGAACAATTACTTCTGGTTCACTTCGATCTTATGAAAATGATAATAGGGTAGAATTACTTTATGTTCTTCTTCGTATCTCATGTGTATCAATATCATACACGGTTAACTTCACCATGTATATTCGATATCGTATACGGCAATGTTGCACTCAAATTTTCATACCGCTCTGAATAGCGTTTATAAGCAAATAAATAGCTGTCGATGTTTTAAACACTGCTAGACTGGCAAATGCACCTCAGCGGTGTGTATCAGCCAAAACTCTGGAATTGCTTTTCTTCCCGTGGCTCGAAGCAAGCGATCTTGGCCTGCATTGCTATTTAGGTGTTTTAATTGCTTTTGCAATTAGCAAATAGAAACGCTCAGTTCAAGTTTCGTCCGGAGAATTAACGGAAAACTGGGAGGCGTGATCATACATAGGCAATGTTGGCCTGAAGTCCAGAGGATTGGGCAGTTGGCACTGGGAGTTAACACCATTGATGCGGTATGGCCGGAAAAAACAATAGTTAGAGGTAAAATAACAGTAGCCCTTTCATCCTAATTGCATATCTTGTGGTGATGGCACAGTTTCTTTGGGTAGGTGAGGTTTTCGTCGATCAGCGAGTCTGACACTCTTTTGAACACCCTGGGGAAAACGCTTTTGTGTGCCACAGAATCCACATGTGATGACCCGAGTGTCAGCCCATGGCTTCTTTCTCCCTCGACTCTTGTTCTCTACCGTGTCTAAACACGTCACTCCTGATCTCAACAATGAATCACATCTTTTGCATATGGATCGCTTTGTCTCGCGGACCAGTCTTATTTGAGATTTTTGGGACACGGCGCGGAGCTGGTTACCATATTGTCTCGAGATAGATGAAAACATATCCTTTCCATGGCTCACTCCGAGTTGCTGGGTCTCCTTTGAAATATTTTGCTCGGGGACGGAAGTGGTATCATATATTACCTGGCTTTTGTTGTCAGCTTTGCCAGGTTTATGAGACGTAGCACTCTGCAGGTAGTCGGCGGCCTTGCATAGGTAAGCCACTCTTGCATGGAGATGGGTCTGTGTCCGGCCTCCCGAGCCTTTCTGGGGCTTTTGGGCCTTCTTCGCCATAGTGCTGCTGGGTGTTCACTTGGTATCAAAATAACCGACTGATCAGTGGATGTTCATTTTGTCCTCACACCCGCTCAAAGGAGCGAAAAGTGAATAACTACATGACTAATCAAGTAATATTCACGTGATCGGAACAACAATTTTACGAGATGTCCCAAAGAGGCAACGCTCGTTTTCAACTTTCGCGCTTTCAACTTCCAACGAAACTTCAGCTTTTTGTTCTGTCACCATCATCAGCAACAACCACCTTCAAAGGGCATTCTCGGACACAATAATAGCCCATATTCATCGAGTACTCCGGTTTGAACACCTAGCTGCTCACTCCTTGCTTAGTATATCTTTGGGAGAAGCCTTCTCCATTACAATCTCCCCCTCTTGACCCAAAATCATCAGAAACCTTACACCATGGCCACCGAAGAAGATCTTATCGATTACTCCGATGAGGAACTCCAGACCACTGATGCCGCCGCTGTGCCAGCTGCGCCGGCTGCCAACGGTGATGCGTCTAAGAAGGGCGATCTTACTGTAGCCGGTGCGGGCGCCGACAAGAAGGGCAGCTATGTCGGTATCCATTCAACCGGTTTCCGTGATTTCTACCTCAAGGCAGAACTTCTACGCGCGATCACCGATTGCGGCTTCGAACATCCATCGGAGGGTTAGTTATCACATTTCTCCCACGTCCTTCCTGTTGAAACCCAGCCAAATATCCGCCCATTCCCGCTTTGGAATCAAGAGAAAAATGGCCGATACGAGCTTGCAGGCGGCACGAGGGGAAAGCAATCCACGAGGACTCATTATTACAAGAAGAAAAGAAACTCTTCTGTGGAATTAAGTTTCTTGTCGTGAAAGAGATACAGACCTTTTGAGTCTCATTTTGCGGCGTTCGACCCAAGAGTAGGATCGAACTAACGTCGGTTTCGCTGCCTATGGTCTTCTTCGGCCTTTACTGGCACAAGGGGAACATAACCTTGAACTGTCGCGAAATCAGCAAGTGTGGAAACGTTGTATCCATCGGAACATTCTCCACGATGAAGATGCCTCCTCGTGCCGCCCTGCAAATAAGCCTATATGTTGCATGAAATCTGCGCTCTTCCGAGTATTACATATATTTGCTGTCGGATTTCCCTCCTTTTCGCGTGGAAAAAGGGCAATCCAATTCTCTTCTGTTGTGTTGTCGCTTTCAAGACAGCTGGAATGGGCGGATATCATTTTCATCCTGCGTATTTCTTGAAACTGGATCGAACCAATCTAACATGTCTGCCACGTTCCCTATACAGTCCAGCAAGTCTGCATTCCAACAGCTATCCTTAATGTCGATGTTCTCTGTCAAGCCAAATCTGGTCTCGGAAAAACTGCTGTTTTCGCCTTGACCACTCTCCACCAGCTTGAGCCAGTCCCTGGAACGTGCTCTATCTTGGTCATGTGCCCTACTAGGGAGTTGGCTTATCAGATCAAAGACGAATATGCCAGGTTCAGCAAATACATGCCAGACGTGAAGACCGCAGTGTTCTACGGCGGTACCCCAATCCAGAAGGACATTGAAATTCTGTCTTCCAAGGAAACCCATCCCAACATCATTGTTGGTACTCCCGGCCGATTGAATGCACTTTTACGAGACAAGAAGCTATCCCTCCGCAACATCAAATCGTTTGTTTTGGACGAGTGTGACAAAATGCTTGACCAGAAGGGTTAGTCTTGTCTTATATCAATATCATATCTTGACCACGTACGAAGGCTAAACTAATATGTTTCACCGCAGACATGCGTGCTGATGTACAAGAGATTTTCCGCTCTACCCCTTCTGAGAAGCAAGTGATGATGTTCAGTGCCACCCTTGCCCAGGAGATCCGTCCCGTCTGCAAGAAATTCATGCGAAACCCACTTGAGGTGTATGTTGATGATGACACTAAGCTCACCTTGCATGGTCTTCAACAATACTATATCAAACTCAGCGAAGCGGAAAAGAACCGCAAGCTCAACGAGTTGCTTGACAACCTTGAATTCAATCAAGTCATCATCTTTGTTAAGAGCACCGTTCGTGCGACAGAACTCGACAAGCTTCTCAGGGAGTGTAACTTCCCAAGTATTGCTGTTCACTCTGGCGTTTCCCAGGAAGAGCGGTAAGCGGGAGCCCTCTTCTAACTCTATAAACGAATTATATACTAAGACTTCATGCAGTATCAAACGATACCGCGAGTTCAAAGACTTCAACAAGCGTATCTGCGTGGCAACTGACGTTTTCGGCCGTGGTATTGATATCGAGCGAATCAACTTGGCCATCAACTATGATATGCCAATTGATGCCGACTCATACCTTCACCGAGTCGGCCGTGCTGGTCGATTCGGTACCAAAGGATTGTCTATCTCGTTCGTTAGTGACGAAGAGAACATGCAGGTCCTGAAAGATATTGAGAAGCGTTTCGAGGTTGCCCTTCCGTAAGTCTTACCTAATCACCACAAATTTCATTACAGCCTTGCTCACACACATATCTAGGGAATACCCTGAGGAAGGTGTCGATGCCAGCACTTACATGGCATAGTTGATTTATGCGTCCAAAATGCATTGATCGAACTATGCAATCCCGACGTATAGTTGTTTCTCAAAATGATCCGGGGTCTCGTATCTGGCGCGTTAGGTATTCACTTTTCCGAGAGTCCAGTGATTTCCTTTTTTCTTTATTCATGTTCTTAAATTGGCCATTCATCTATCTTTTCGAACCCGGCACTGTTTTCATTGAACTCCTCTCTTAGTATACCTCTTGCGGTGCATTCTACTGGTGGAGCAGAACCATTTACACCGAAGTAAAACCAAGAGGAAAAGTTTACAGTGCCTTCCAACCTTTATGATGTAATTTTGTACTGCTTTTCAGCTTCAAGAAAAAAGGAAAAGGAAGTTACGACGAAAACCCTCACCATTTCATTGTCCTATATTTTTAGTTTAACCAGTTTAGCATCCTGACAGTATGGCTATTCTAGAAGGTCTTTTTGTTGATCCCAATCATCCATCAAATCCCGAATCTGCTTGACATACCATGCACTACCCATCGTACGAAACGCAAGGCTGATCATTCAGACAGATGGTCAGTGCTCAAGACGCTTGTTTCACTCCGTCCACGTCTCACAAGTGTCACGATAACTAGATCTAACTCTCGTCTGACAACGAGACCTGAGATGTTACATAGTGGATTCCGGGTGTTAGAAGGCTTTGGATAAGGGGCTCATTTACATGCAATCGTGACAAGAGAATTTAAGAGTAGGCATTTTTCAAGTCATTCAACAGGAGCTCCATAGACGGCATACCCTTCCTTTTGGAGGCCCACAAATAGAGGTTCTATCACGCTCCCAGTCACAAGGAGACTATCGCAATATGCGCCTAGCTGTGGACAAGCTTTTGTCTTAGTTCAGCGGCTGAAGCTAAAACAGCCATGGAGAAGGAATCCCAATCGATCCCATGCCCGAGCTGAACCTCTCGTCTGATAGGTCTAGTTGCAGGCCTCCAGGTACGGAGTACTCGACTTGGGATAAATTATTGGAAACATGAGCTGCATGACGTGCAAGGTATCAATCTTGGGTATCCAAAAGCCAAGCTAAAGGAAGACCAGTCAGTTACTAGGTTATGGAGACGGTCTAACGCGGAAGTTTGTGGGCTGAGAGAAAATTGGTTGATTCAATTAGTTATCTGTTGGCCCTTTTTATGCTGTTATCAGCTTGTCTTTTTATATCACAAAGAGAGAAGAAAAAGAAAAATCATAACTTTACTCCGTAACTTTTGGTAATAAACGGACATTTTTAATACCGATGACTCAGCGATTCGGGTCTCGGTGTAAACTTTGTCTCCCTTGGGCCGCAAGGGCTTCAGCAAAGGAAGTATTTTTGTAATAACCCACCGGGTAATAACTACAGCCATCTTCGAAGTCAGAGGAAGAGAGGTCGGAGACGGAGAAGTCAGAAATGTCGCCGACGTTGCCCTCTTCGTCTGTGCAGGGCATGCCATCATCACCGAAATCGATGTCATCAGAGGACGGGTATGAAAAGCCAGGAAGATGCCCGCTATAGACCCTGTGAGCCTTTGGGTGGATGAGCACGCAACTCATACAGCACTCATCCGGTAGTAGGAAGGTCGGCGGGATGTCTTCACTATAGAATGGAGGCTCGGTGGTTTTCGTTGCTGGACTCTTCTCGGTCAGAGCTAGCACCGTCTCTTGATGTCTTGCGGAATCTTCTTGCTCTGCCACCTCCAATGGAGATATACCCTCGTCATCTTGTTTGTTGAGATCCACGTTGATTTTGGCGCTGTGATGGATCAGGTATATGACGGCGTGGATATTCCCTCGCTCAGCGGCTAACCAGAGCGCAGTTCGTCCCTTGGGATCCTTTGCCTCGATGTTGACATCGGGGCGGTTGATGAACTGCTCCATAATGTCAACACGGCCTGTTATGGCCGTCATAAGAAAAGGAGTTTGGCCAAGTTTGTTTCGTTCATCTGCCTTAATGTCACTCCGAGCCAGTAGGAGTTTGATAACGCTAGTGTTTCCTCGCACAACCGCCCGTGAGAGCGCAGTTTCGCCGAAGCAATTGCTAGCATTAACATCAAGCTCCTTACGGCTCATCAGCAGATCCACCATAAGCGGGTCTCCAACTATAGCTGTTCCAATCAGTGCATTGTCGCCGAGTTTGTCTGCACAGTTAACATCAACCTCGTCCTCGGCAACTAGGAGCCTTAGTGCTTCGAATGGATCCGTCACCTTATAGACCATTTCCATCGGGGGTCTCATTGCATAGCATATTGCGGTAGCACAGGTTTCGTCACGGCCATTAACGTCAATACCGCCTCGTTCAAGGAGGAATTTCATGACTTTTGTGGCTGTACAAGCCGCAGCCAAAGCTAACGGCGTCGTAGCATACATGCCAAATTTATCCTTGGTCAGGGCTGGGAAGCGCTCGACAAGCAGCTTCGCAACCTTTACGCCATCATATTGCAGGGCTGCTTGGAAACATATCCGAACCACTCTGCACTCGTTTCTGGCCATTATCACGCCAGAATCAAGGACAAGCCTGACAATATTGTCATGGTCATTTTTTGCTGCCGTCAATGCTATATCGAGCTCTACACTCGCACCAAACATCTCATCGACTTCAAATCTTGTTCTGGAACCGTCGTCTTCTGAGTTTGAAAGCCATAGATATACTTCATCACTATCGTCGCCATTCTCTCCATCTACCCCATCCACCCCATCCACCCCATCAGCAGTGTTCACATTGTCCTTGTCATCTAACCTCAATTGTGAGATACCACCACGTATTCTCTCAGCGTTAGAAGGTATACTACTGTACTCCCAGAGATACCTTACGACTCCTTCACGTCCAGAGCCTGCGGCATCCGTAATGGCCCCATCGACATCTTCGAGGGAGGGCCGAGGATCCAGGCTGTGAAGCAGGATACCTACGACAGTTTCATGGCCCTTCTCCGCCGCAAGAGCCAAATGCAACCCGTTATGTCTATCATGATACGGATTTTCATCAGGGTGCTCCATCAACAATTTGACCATTGGCACATCACCCGCTCTGGAGGCAATATGCAAGGCATTTAGCCCCGCGCTATCCATGAGAAATTTCCTTCTAGGCTGTTTAAGAAGAATTTTCATGCTTTCGAGGCTCCCCTTCTGTGCAGCGACTAGAATTGGGTTGCCAAAGAATTTATGAACAGTATCAACACTAAATGGCCCCTTCTTCAACACGCGAGTCAATAGGGCAGTGTCGTCCTCGGATATAGCTACTATTCCCGCAGCGCTGCAGATATCCATGGCTGTTCTTTTAGAGCTTTTATGGTCTGACTTGATTTCGACCTCGAAAAAGTCGTCGAAGAATGGCTCCTGATTTCCGCTATAAAGCTTCATTGCAGCCACTGTGCACAGGGTATCTTGATACTTGCGCGTTAACGCCAAGCGCTCATCGTCGTGCTGCTGTTGAGTTTCGTTCAGTAGATACTCAGTGACTTCATTAATGGAGTTTGTAAGTTCCTTGCCCCGCCCCCCTCTTCTGCCCTGCCCGTCCCAACTCGGCTTTCCTCGTTTCCTTACTAGCGTTTCGAGGAATAACTGTGTTGCTGGCCGAGGAGAGCATTGACTCCAGCCATTCTTTCCTTTTTCATATTCGTCCTCTCGCGCCGTATAAACTGTTTGGCCACCAGTATGTGACGAGCCTTTCAAATTGTTCTTCAAGAACAGTTTATCAGTTTTAAGGGGTTCCAATCGACGGACGGTGCCTGATGGGGAGGGGGAATACAGCTTTGAAGAAACGTGAAAGCGGATAAGGAGAGGGAAAAACGTACTGTTAACAGGCAGGAGGCTACTTTGAAAGCTACGCTGTGGGCTCTCAAGACGAGCATGATTCTGCTCCAGTTCCTTCCAGGCCTCCCACGTATAGTCGAGGATGGAAAGAATGATTTCTTCTGGCAAGTGTCCGAAAGTGGCCATGATGGGCTAGTCTACTCTGTTACCCTACTTGCGATCGGCCGTCCAAGCTGGGGATATGCAAGGTATGTGCTCCGTAGCCCACAGGGTATTCGATTTCACCAAGAGGTGCATAAATAGTAACGTCGCTAAAAGCGGATGGAAGATTGATGTTCATATTTGCTTCTTCGAGCTCGTTGTGCATTAAGGAGTACTCCGTATCAGCAGGCCCTTTTATGGGCGCCTCTTCAGGCAAAAAAGAGATACTGGAAATAACGTCACTGACTTTAGAGTTCCTTAGTCGTCGGATAAAATGTAAAGCCGCAAAGCTTAGTCATAACCTTGAAATAACGCCCGACTTTTATTTTTACATCATCCAACAGCGACGAGGAACAAGGAGAAATACTCCGTAGAGAGGAAAGGAAGAAAGGAGACGTGGACGACGTTTACCTCGATATACTCCGTAGAGTGTATGCATATGCGGGAGGGGAGCGGGACGAACACAAGAGATACGGAGTCACGGAGTCACTGATATTCAGGAACCGGCTGACGGAAAGTCCGGGTGTCGATGTACTCGTCGCGAGCGCCAGAGCAAGGGAGACGAAGTGGCAGAGGAAAGCGAAAAAGCAACCAAAAATACGGCGCTCGCAGCAGTAAATTACAGCGATGGAGCTCCTGTGGTGCTGAAAATTACCGGAGCCATCAGAGAGAAAGTCGACTAAGCGGCGGCGATGACGAGTCAATTTGGCGCCAGCGCATCCCATCCCGTCTGCCTAACTTAGGGTCCGCCAGTGGCAAAGACGAAACTATCCCTAGCATGGCCGAAAGGGAAACAAATTCGTCGCGCAAAACTCGATTGTTTTCTCTGTCACGGCGTTGTCGTACAGAGCTCCGACTTTCTTATATTTTTTTATATTTTTACGATTTACGGAGTATATTATGTTATTTCATTTTGGCCCCCTCGACAGACTCAGACAAGACAGCTTATGTGTACGGAGTGCTCGGCTTCGATGCATTGCAGCACACATGCATGTGTGGCAGAATGGAGTCGCGGATTGAAGAAAGTGAAAAAGGAACGAAAAACAAAAATAAGAGTATTGGGGGATGATTCATGTTGTTGTGGTTGTTCTCGATATGCGCCTGTCTCGCCCTTTTCTCCACCACACGGGAAGGAAGCAGCTGGTAACTGGTGCCTGAGCCTGTCAATAATTTCATCAACTTGCTAGTCTGATCTCGCCACGACAGGGAGAAGAGCAGCGTACAGGAGAAAAGAAAAGAAAAGAAAAGAAAAAGGGTTGGGAAGAGAGAAGTTACTCCGTACAAAATGCCACTGCGTCAAGATGTTTATCTGGGAAGGGAAAAGCAATATTCGAACGGGAGCTGCAAAGCAACCAAGCAGGCGGCAAGCTGGAAAGTTCGACATGCAAATCCCCTTTCAGGGATCACAGCTGTTCAACGCAATACATACACTTGGATGACCTAGCTAAAATATGAACGAATAACCGTGATCAGGACAAATGATCCCACCTGTCTCTTTGGACTGCTCATCAGATACGAGGTTTACTACTCCGTACTCTTACCTGACAGTCTGATATGACGTCCGTTGCGAAAAGGGGGGGAGGAAACCGTTAAAGGAAGAGAGGGTTTAAAAAGAAAAAGGATCGAGGTGAAGCATAAGGTACCAACTGGGCCAGTTTAGCATCCGTTTAAGCATCCGTCGACTCCGTCGGGGGGCTGTGTGAATCGAATTCCGAACCTACATACGGAGTACATAACATAGGTTTTGATGCATAACTACTCACTTATACCTGAGGGCGTAAGGGGGACTGGGTACTCCGTATGTTTGGGTACTTAATAAATGCCTGCTGAAACGCAGACAAGTCCACGATGGATGATGAGGCTGGCCACCTATACTCCGTACTCCGTAGAGGAAACAACCTCAAGTCGGAAAGCAGGAGTTCTTTTGATATCGCTGAGTCTCCTTCTCTGCTTTCATTTCCCCTTTGTCTCTGGTGATCTCCAGCTAATTATTAGATAGAAGTAATGTATGTACGGAGTACCAGGAGGGATTGTCATTAGCAGGCAAGGATAAACTCGACTGAGAATGCCACAACGTGGTGGTAGCTCTGCATCCTGCGCCCTATCAATTTCTCCAGAGCTGTCATCCCCATTGCAGCCTTCGCCCATCCAGATATCAATCGTCACTAAGCTGGCTAGCTCCTTCACCCTGAAAATCTCTGGCGCCAGAAGGGGGAGCAGAGACGGAAAAAGCAACACCAGCCAACGCCTTGTCGATGTAATAGATGCTTTCTTTTTCCCACGGGTCTTGCCAACTAAAACAGCACTTGGCAAGATTCCCTGCTTATCTGCTTAGAACTGCGATCTCGAGCAACAGGTAGCCATAGCCCGCTCGATCGTGTATTTACCGGAACATTACCACTGTAACGCCGCTCTGCGTCGCCCTTGTCTCCCTGTCACTTGGCCGTACCGTAAGCGTAATACGACCTATCGTGACCTCGCTCGAGATTCCCGCCAAAACTTCAACCTTCGCCCGCTCCGGCCAACGCAAGTTTTCGTCCATCGCTCTCGCTGCTGCGTTTTCTCTCCCTCCATCGAAAGTAAAAAACAGACAAGAAACCCTCGACCGCTTGCCTGCGTCTCTCTCACGCTCTCTCTCGGTCGGTTTTCGCTCTTCTCTCTCTCGATCCCGACAGGCATTGGTCTTCCGTTCGTTTAGTTCTTCTTCTCTTCTCGTTTCTTTTTCGTCCTGCGTCTGCGTCTGCGTCTGCGTCTGCGTCTGCGTCCTCCCTCGTCCCTTTGACCTGGCGACGGCTACCCGCGAACCCCCCCTCGATCAAACGAAAACCACCAGGGCTGACGGATCGGGCGGACGTGTCTTGTTCTCGAGAGCCATCGACGGCCCTCGCTTCGATCCAGCGTCCAGCTATCGACCGGGTTGATAGAGTCCTGCGCGCGCGGGAAGGTCGAGAGAAGCGATGAGATAAGGCCCTATATCCATACTATACAAGGACAGCCAGCCAGCAACCGAGCAGCTGTAAAAGAACATCAACGTCAATAAATAAATCAGCATTAAGAGAAGCATTAAAAGGGACGAACCCCTTGCGACAACGAGCCATCGGACAAAGGGCAGCGCCGTTTCTCTTTGCTTCTTCGTCTTCCCTCCTCTTCCGACGGGGAGCACATACGCTTCATCATCCCTATACGGGAGCACTTGCGACTCCATCCTGCTGCCTCCGTTCGGCCAGAGCAGCATCAAGCACCATCGAGCACCATCGAGCAGCATCAAGCATAAGCACAAGTAGGCGAGCAAGCAAGCATCACTTAGCTAGCAGCGGCCAGCAGTGTGTAACGTGCTGCGCGTTTTGGCGGTACAAACAACTGGGCTGCTTCTTTCCCGCCCGACATCTGCTCGGCTGCATCTATCCTACGCTCCGCCTTCCCAATGGCCCCGTCGCCGCCGAGACTTCGCATTCTATCAGGTACAACAGCTCGTTCCCCTTGTTCTTTTTCTTCCTTTTCCTCTTTCTCTTCTTTCACTTCTTTCACCCATTTCCCTGCTCTGTGCATATGTGTGTGTTCTGTCCTGTTCCCTGCCCTCCTCCAAGTCCTCGGTTTATCTGTCGATATCCTGAAGCCTTCACTCGACTCTTCACCTGCTGAGCCTCCCTGGGAAAGGAAAGGAAAAGGAAAAGGAGATATCACAAAAAACAGAAGAGGAAGAAGCAAAAATAAATAAAGGCAGCAGCAGGGGAAAAAAAACTGGGAATATCTCTCACCTGGAACCAGTCCTGGAATCACACTCGCCCTGATTTCCTAGTTACATTAGAATACCGTGTTTCTGTGATGGGCCGGCTGACATCCTATTTTATAGTTGGTGGTAATGCGGTGTCGGCATTTCTTTCCTGGAGACTCCAGGCCACGCATTCCTGTGATGTGACGCTGGTGTGGAAGTCCAGCTTCGAGACCGTCCAGCAGTACGGCATCTCCTTTAAGTATGGCTAACTCTCTCTCTACCCTTATATCTCACTTTGTGGTACCTTGGTCAGCTCACACTCCGTCAAACTAGATCGAAGGCATTCGGTAACGAACGCTTCAAACCTCGACACGGTATGCAGTACCCGTCCTGCTATGCAACACTTTTGACAGGTAGAACGTGCTAACATAAATATAGTTGTCCGTACGCCAGAAGAAGGTGCTGCCATATCGTCGTCGTTTGATTATGTGATTCTTTGCGTGAAAGCTTTGCCAGATATCTACGATCTCGCCGGCGTGATCGAATCGGTCGTTACCCCCCAACACACATGCATACTGGTCAATACCACTAGCACAATAGGTGTCGAGGCCCATCTGGAGCAGAGATTCCCGAAGAATGTTGTCCTTTCCCTTGTGTCTGCAGTAGATATTGTCCAGACCGGTGCTAGCGAGTTTGAACACACCTCTTCAACCGACTTGTGGGTTGGCCCGGCCTCAAAAAACGCGATGATCCCAACTGCTATCCAGAACGATATGGCTGCTGCGCTGGCAATAACCCTCGGCACCGCTCAGGTGAATTGCAAAGTATCAGAAAATATACTCCAGCAGCAGTATGATCGTATGATTGGGTGTGTATCATGTTCCCCCATTTCCCACCGTTTCTATTATTTTTGACGTGCTAACACTATCTAGACCCATTGCTTTCCACCCTATCAGTGTACTTTTCGAAACCCCAAACCATAGCCAGCTCCTAGAAAAGGTTGGGGTACGTCAAATGGTTTCGGATGTCCTTGATGAGTTGATCGCACTTGCAAAGTCGCAAGGATGCACCTTTGCCGATGACTTCAAAGAAAAAACCATCCAGTCAATGGTTGCCTCGACCGATTCAAGCATCATGTACCAGGACTTCCAGGCCCGGCGGCCCATGGAAATCGAAACCTACCTTGGAGCCCCAGTCAAGATGGCCACTGATAATGGCGTGAAGATTCCTCGCATTGAAACATTGTACGCAATGCTACATCATATTAACATCACCAACCAAAACCGTCAACCCGTGACCGAACCATCTTCACCCGTAATGTCACTTCCCCCTCGAATATCGTCTGCCCCTTCAAGACCGCCGGCGAACGGTGTCCCTCGTGGTGGTGGGAACTTCCGTGGTCAACCACCACCTCCACGTCGTGGCCCATCCTCCTTGGCCAACAATCCAAGACCACTGCCTCCTCAGGCAAATGGCCATGGCCCTCGTGGTCCCAAGCAGGGCCTACCTCGTGACCTGTCGTACGAAGACCCAGCTCTCGATGAATTCAGCCACCTTGTGCTTTATGAAGATGGCCAGGACGATAACCAGTCCCAGCACGGCGGTTACAACGGCCATATGAACGGGGGACCATCGCCCAGTGAGTTGGCGCTAAAGGAGCGGGAGCTAATGCTTCGCCAACGAGAGATTGCCATACGGGAGCAGGAGATGCAAATGAGGCGTCGTGGAGGTGGCGGGAGGGCCCCGTCCACTAGAGGTGGCTTCGACGATGACGACGAAGAAGGTTGTGACCTTCCTGACCACCGCAGCCCGTCTATCCCTCAGATTGATCCAGATAACTTTGACATGATGAGCGTAACCTCTCGACGAAATAGGAAAACTCCAACCGCCCCTGCCAAGGAATTCCGCAAGAACCCCGAAATGAACAGCTCTCGCCCTCCGTCCGTTTTCAGCAGACATTTTGGTGCGGGAAGACATCGTGCTAGTTCAAGAATAATGGAAGAGATACCAGGGGTACATGATTCACTGCTGGACAACCCTATGATGAGCTACTCATCCAACCGATACGGTAACGTCGACAGAAGAGAGATGCACAACGAATCCAGAGCGAATTCGTTGACTGCCTCGAGAATGGGCGAGATGGGACATGGCCCTTACCCACCAAGCAGAAGGACCAGCCAGTCCCCGGGCAATCCTCCCCACCCAAACGGCCGGATGGGTCGGCCAAACACAGGCCACGAAGGCGGCCAGATGCCCGCACCAAATGGAATGGGACACAGTGGGAGGCCATCACCCCCAGGGATGATGAAAGCTCCAGTACCAAGGCACCCGCCTGGTCAAGGTAATGCTATAATGCCGCATCAGGTCGAGCAACATGTCGGGGTGAGCAACCATCCGTACCCCCCCAAAGGTCCTTCAAAAGTTCGAAGTCTGACGGGCAGTGCGAGTGCCAGCGCGGAGAGTGGTGATAGTGGTGCTAGTGCACATATCGACTCAGAAAATTCAGCGTACAGCAGCCAGAGCAGTCTTGATCCCGTCCACCGTGGACATGCAGTTCGATAATTTCGTACATACGGCCACGCCGTTCTCCTTTTCCTCTCCCTCGTCTTTTTCTTTTCCCACGTCGAGCGGATATCTACCTCTTCACGACACGAATTATAGACATCCCCATTAACGATACCCCTTCAACACATAATTCGCATTAGCTTTTCGCCTACACCTTTTTTCGGCATTTCCTAGCATCCCTTTTCCACCGAAATCCCTAACCGTCGTTCTGACTCGAAGTCACCTCGAAATGAATCAAAAATACTCACGGTAAATAGCGTCTCGTTTCCTGGGCTTACGTTCTCGATCCCGACAGCCTGCCGGCAGTGTTTTTCCCATGCTGCTGCCTTCATTGTACAATGGACACGTCTTCACTTTTTTGGACAGATAACCGGCCGTCCGTCAGCGTTTAATACTATGATAATACTTCCGCGGCCGCATTCATACCAAGGCCTTCCTCGCTCCCTCTACTTTCCACCTGTCGGCTTCAAACAAAAATTTCTTTCCTTTTCTTTCTACATTTTGTTCCTTTTGTTCATGTTGCATTAAGGAGAGATTGTGTCGCTTTTCTTCTGTTCTTTTGCTTAAGCTATTTAATTTCCCTCCGTGTACACAAGCTATTCTTCCCTTCCTTTCCCTCAATCGACTTGTGTTTTACTTCCTCCTCTCTTTGTTTTTCTTATACTAGTCTACATACTGAAGTAATTACTACCTCGTCCATCATCATCGACAACAAAGCAACAACTTCAAAAGCCGACTTACATCGGTAGAATCAGGGATTTCTTTGGCGCATATCCAACCAAAAAAAGGGGGGCCAGAAGGCCGAAGTGGGAATCAAGGGGGCACATGCTTATCGTTTTCCACATGTTTTCTTTTTTACTTATTGTCTTCCCTGCTTGATTAAATGTTCTTTTTCTTCCTGTCTTCCTCTATTACTTATCAACTCTCACGTAAGTACCTGCCTACCTACATGTCTGTTTCTGTTTCTGTTTCTTTACGTTGCTATTATTCAATATTTTATGAACTCGATTGAGAGGAACAACGACACTCACACAGGGGAATAAGGAGGCCGGGTTGGGGGTCATAATGATCAACTGGCAGGAAAAGTAATTCAGCGACATCGGGTTTTTGCCTTTTTATGAGAACTGTTTGCATGCTTGATTGTTTTGTCTTTTCTTCTCTCCTTTCGATGCATTGCTTTGATTATCGGCTAGGGCACAGTTCTTGTTTTGTTTGTTTGTTTGTTTGTTTGTTTTGCCTGCTTGCTTACCTGTAGTGATCTTTGGCGGGTTATTTGATTTCTTTCCTTTTTTTCTCTTACTTACTTCCCTGCTTGCTTGCTTAATGTGGCTTGACACCGTTTGCGTTTGCGTATCTGCTTTTAATTACTTCGTGATCCCCTTTACTTTTCTGAAAGAGAACGAATCTTGCTTTTCCATAGTCTCTAAGCTATATCACCTAAGTCGTAACATTGGGTTCTTGCTAGTGCTGTGTAGCTGTTTGGTATGTTCCGGATCCATATCCTAACTTCCCCCAAGACAATTTCAGGGCAGGAGTTATATCGGTGATGTCCACATACTTCTTGGATTGATTATTCACCGTCCTCTGGATGTCGTGGAATGATCCTTCGAGAGGGGTCTGTCGCGGGGATATGGTAGTCGGTTCCGGTCAAAATTCCAGTAGGCTGGCTAGCTACCCAAATAACAAACTGCGATCCTCGAGCCGGAGATCCAGGCCCTGGGCGTATAGGCTGTCCGCGGTTCTCAGGCGAGCAATAGAAGCGTTGTTGCTGTACTCCGCAAGATGTGGGTTTAGACCATGTACCAGCAATTAAAGAAGTCGTCTTGCTGCTTTTGAAATCATCAGCACCAGCCAATGCCCCCATGCGGTGAAGCATATCTAACGAGTAACTGGCCCATCAGTAGATCCTGCGAGGACCATCAACCCTGTCATGGAAATGTATCGTATCATCATTTCCCGTTCAACGGGTAAAACGTAATGTCATACAGACTCGGCCGTTTCCCCTAACGGCGGCTCTCGTCTTCGTCTTCACAGTTTTCATCCTCATCATCCGTTCGGGTAGTGTCTTTGCTTTTACTTTCGCCTTTCTTGCTGTTGTCATCTTGCCTATTGATCCCTTCCTCGCCTAGAACCTTCGCCGCACCCATGAACAGACTCCCTACATAGCCACCTAGAAACCGAAGGTCGCTTGCCTGAGCGCTTGTCATGCGCATGAGATTCTGCGTATCGGCGAGGTTGGCATTGAGCTGAGCTAGCTGCGCGTGAAGGTGGGAATACTGTCTCATCTTCGCGGGGGAGAGGGTAGATTGTCCATTGCTGGGATTCATTTTCGGCAAACTCGCTATGAGCGATTCAAAACTTCCTTTTTAGAGGCTCTGTGGGTATTATGGCTAGCTGTTGTCCTGTCTTGTTCGTTGGTTTTGCAGTTGAGAATGGAGTGTCGTCGAAATAATAAACACAAGAAGACGCGCCAAGACTTGGAACTTTGTTCTTGGAAGCTTTTCAACCTCGAATTTCAGCGCATCAAAGAGAACTACAGAACCATACACAGTGCTCTATCTTGCACGTTAATGAAAAGTACTGAGCTCATAATTTACACCTGGAGCTATTCGAAACAACATCATGCTGTCGTCACAAGCGAAAAATAAAATACTAGCAGGTGCTGTTGCTGTCATCACAGCTTCGGGTGCGGTTTGGGGTGCAAGCTTGAAGATGAACCAGGAAGAACAAGAGGTGAGTTGAACCCCCGATATCAATGCCCAATTGACATGGAAGATTGCTAATTGTGCATTTGTACGTTTTATAGCGAGTTCAAAGGAGTCTGGATGCCACACCGGAGGAGAAAATAAACAGTTTACTACTAGCCAGGGAGAACTTAGTTGCGAAGCGCGGGATGCTTGAAAATCAGATCAAGGGAATTGAAGCAAGACAGGCTGAGAAAGCAGAACTTATACGGCAAAAAGAGCAGTATCAACAGCAACAGCGGACCCCACGAGAATACCAATCCCCAAACGACAAGCAAAGGTGAAGAGGCACTCGGTAGTGGAATGCAAAACCACTTACAATCTTCATCTTCCCCCGGGACGGCCGTAGGCGCCAGTCTTGCCAATTGACCACCAGATCGCGTACGCTTTCCGACGCCTGACTGTTATAAGAATCTCTGGGACGTGACCCCGATAAGGCAGCTCGAAGACCCAGGACAGGCACCGAGAGCCATATCATGGCTATACGCTACCTTTTTACGCTTTGTGGCCCTTTACCCTTTTATATTCTTGCCTCGCATGGCTAGCTCCCAATTCACGGGCCAGGAATATTCATGGCTGTAAGCTCTTCCATGAAGTCAACAAATGACAGAGGGGAATTCCGGAACAGGGGATAAAAACAATACCATGGAAAGGCTCTACGAAAATGGCAGTGTTTGCTTCGGCGGAAAATTCTACTATTCTAGGACCTACTTGCATGTACCGACGTTTGGTACCGTTGCTTATATGGTGTACAATTTAAAAACTTATTACGGATATTGGGAAACGACATAAGTCTTGATCACTTTGCCTATGTACTAGATTCGAACTATCTAAGGGTATTAGGGTATATCTGCAAAACGCCAGTTCCACAACAAGGTATAATGCGGTTTTCTATATGACGTTTAAACAAAGAAACACACCAAAGGATGTAAAAAGGAATGAATGCTCCAAATGCTCCAAGCTCACAATCGTGGCCAAACCCCTACCCAATGTTCAGCCAAAAAAAGTCCCGAGAATGGCGTAGAAAATTCGTATATATCATTCGTGTAAGAAATGAAATGACCAATGGTGGGAAAGACATATCTATGTCACTCATCTTCAAGGACTCCTCGAGCTAGGATCGCCAGACTTGACTCGTACCTTGCTGGACTATGATCCAATAGCATACCGGAGCCAAACTTGACCTCCCGAAACCTCTTTTCCACGTCTCGGATGTATTTTAATTGAACCCGGGTGGCGGGCCGCCCGAGGCGAGGATAGCCATCTCCTGCAACCATATCTCCTGAGAAGGCGTCTCGCTGGAGAACACGCATTGTTTCAACAACGAATACTTCGCCAGGGGGCAACAGTTTTGTAGCTGTGAGGCCTTCCCGCAGGGATTTAAGGGTGTTCCATGCCCACGAGTCTTCACCTAGACCGTCACCAGCGTGTATTGAAGATGGGTTATCCATGTTTAGCTTGTTAGCAATGCTGCGCGTGATTGCATCCCACACCCTGGCTTTGACTTGAGACTTAGCGTCGGCGACATCGCGCTTGAACGACAGGGCCACGCCGTGGAAGTCATGCAATACACCTAGAGAAAGGGTCGGGACAACATCATGCCCATTAACTATTGTTGTTATCAATCCGCGGGTGGCAAGACGGAGTTGTGGGCTCATGACAGCAGGTGGGCCGAATGCATATACATGAACAGGTCGTCCAGGAGGTAATGAATATTGGCCCGTTTGTTGATGGATATTCTGCGTGCCTTCATTGGTAGTGGCGGGGAGTAACCCAGTAATGGCCTGTTGCGATGATGATGTGACAAATGACGGGCCAGGCAGGTCAGGATGTTGGGGTTGTGACATAAGTGTTGCGAGAATAGCGGCTACTCCACCTCCGAGGGAGTGGCCGCAGAAAATAACGCCATAATCTGGAAATTCTTCAAGAGCCGATTTAATAGTGGCCATGACCTTGCCTCCACCACCTTCCAGAAGACGTCTTGCCGAGGCTAACATGCCTTTGTGGACCTTGTATGTCCTCCCGAGCCAAATTATATCGTCATAATCGCATGTCATATCAGTAAGGATATCTTCAAAGCCCCATGTGCCTCTCAGTGTTAAGACAGCGGCTTTGGACTCATGGTCCAATGATAGGTAATGGACTAAAGGGAACCCTTCGGAAGTAATACCTGCAGAATTAGTGCCACCAGCTGTGTCAACAAACGATGAAAGTAGGATGGTTGATGTCGGTAACCCTGTGTAGTCTGAAAATGAATTATGCTCGTGATGATCTACTGGGTCTTCAGGGTGCAGCTGAGTAGTGGCATTAGAAATGCCCATTATCCTTAAGAAATTTGACCCGTATGATGCAGATGAAAAACGAGAGAAACGACGTATGTTCCGCACCAAGTTATTTGATGGATAGAGCCCGGGAACATACCCAGTGCGTGAAAGGGATGAAAGTGCGGAATTGTCGTCATATGCACTCTTCCCTGTTCGAGGTGCTAGTAGGAGCGAGGTTTCGGATCCTGTAGCAATGGAGTAAAGGCTAGGAACAGCAGATTTGGAAGAGTTGCGCCGAGACATCATCGGGGTGCCAGGGCGGCTGGCGAAGTTGAGAAAAAGAGACATATCTTTCTCCGACCTAGCCTTTGACAAGGAAGAGTTGCTGCGAATATGTTCCCTGGAAAGAGATGGGGAGCCAGGCTGTGTCTCTGGGGATCGAATGGAGTAGGCATCCGAGTGAGTGAACGACTCCGAGCCTTTCTCGCGAAGTAAGTAGCGGCTGGATGCCAGCTGATTCCCGGAACTGGCCTCATTGGAGCTGGCTTCGCGTTCAGTCTTCCTTGGAGAAGATTTCTCTTTCTTAGGGGATAGTGGCCTGATTCTATTTGTGGCATCTGACATCACTGCCTTATTTTTTACAGCAGAGGTATTCTTCTCCTCCCTTTCTTTGCTGGAGCTTAATGATTTTTTTAACTCATTTTTGTGCCGGCTCCTGGTTTCGTGAAATGCACTTATAGTTGGGTTGCTCTGCGTTACATTCGATAACTTCTTTGTCAATCCACCCGCGGGTTTTTCCTCTGCGTTAGCCTTCACTTTGCTAGTTATGCGTGCGAAAGATCTAGTTCTAACACTTCTTGGAGTCTCAGAACCGCTCGTGTCTGATGCAGAAGTCCTCCGGCGCCGATGAGCACGCTTTGGCCGCATCTCGGGGCTAGTCTCAATACTAGCCGACGGTGTGAACCTCGAATCTTCATTGGGGGTATTCTCCCTGGAATCTACCTGAGGCCAACCGTAATGGGCGTCTGGTGAGGCCACTTGGGAAGGCATCCGTAACTCTGAGTCCTGGAAGGAGTTCGACACCGTCCTAAAAACAATTGTGTGTTTCGGGAGAGTTTCACCCGTCAATTCCGAGCCAATAATTGCATTATTGTATTCCGGCTGTACCCTTTCCTCAATCTTTGTAGTTCCAGGCGGAGGAGAGATGTTGACACGGCCTGAGTCGAAAACGTCTACAGTGATTGTCCGGGCGGTGACCGTATCAAGCTTTATGGTTGCGTGGCAACCTCGTGGCAGCTGCTCTGCAATATAACGGCGAATCTCATCATCCGCAAGTTCATGTTGGCGATCTGAGGGAAGAGATACGTGGGGAACCAGATGACTGAGGTGGCTGAAAGACAGGTTCCCTCGTTCAACTGCATCTAGACTCTCATTTCCGTTGGTATCAGGTAAAAGGAAAGATGAGGGTCGTAAGGACGAAGAATCACCTCCATCTATTTCTTCCCCAAACGCCGTTTGGTGAGTCCCAACAACGTCAGCTCTCAGGCCATTGTCGAGGATGACAACGTCCCATATGGTTTCCTCATTCCCGTTCTGCCTAGTTTCCTTGTCCGTCTGTCTACGGCCCCATCGTTGCAATAGAACAAATCCTACGGAGCCAACAAGCAAGTCTCCAACACCAACCGTCTCTCCAAGCGGAATCACCTCGGGATTGCGAAATTCACGTCGAATGAGAGTAATGATCGAGGCGATTGCCCTAGATGACTCGGTAGATCCAAGAATGGCATCGAGTGTCGAAAGAAGCGTCTGAGAGAATGATGTCACCGAAGAGAGGGTGACTGAGGAAAGATGGAAGCTGGCGGAGGCGAAGAATGAAGCGGAAGTAATGGTCGTGTGCAGAGTTGCCAGCTATAACCAAAAATTAGCTATCCCAAGCATATATATGAAAACACATATAGGGAAGGGGAGTGGAAAGCTCACGCTTCGCTCCAAGAGTGACTCTGCCTCCGATCTTCCGTGCTCGTCACTGCTCCGAGAGACCACATCTCGACCGGCCCGGATAAGGATACCCTCTACCACGGCCCTGCTTAGCTCTAACCCGGTGAGAGTCGTTGCTCTAGCACTATTTATCACAAAACTACCCAGATACGTCCACAGCCGCAAAGAGAGGGAGGTCGACTGCGTCACCAAGCTGACCAGGGACGCAACAGGGGACGGTAAAAGCGTGCTGCTGGACGGACGAGCTCCCTGGGGCTTCTTCCACTTGGTCACCGATGCCGCTGATGCCTGGGCAGGGTGGCCATGCGCGGGCATGGCTCGGTGAGTGCGTGCGCTAAAGATGTCGATAGTCGATGTCGATAGCTCGATCCATTGATCCCGTCCGCCGCGGGGTTCGTGCCAACGCAGAAACTGGGGTATCTGTCGGTATATAAAACAGCCGCCATGCAGTCTGCTGCTGTCAGTACGATGCCATCACGATAGCTTGTCTCTTGCCCTGGTTTACTGTTGTGCTTCGGTTGTCAGTGTCAGATGCGCAGCAGCAGCGCTGAATGTGACAAGCGCAAAAAGAAACGGAATAAAAGAAAAAAACGACGAAGCTTGCATTTCCCCTTTAGGCAACTCGACTGACATGTGATCACAGCTTGGAATGAGTGGTTGGATTATGTAATAAAGATCGAATAACACTCCTGTCACATGACCAAAGCCACTTTCTTTTACATAATCAGATTAGATAAGAACTCTATGTGAATGCATTACATAATTAAGCTTTAGCTGAAAGGGGAAAAAGCAACGTCCGAAGTTTGCAGAAACGTCAACAGCGTTTGCCTTTGGCCAGCAACACCGTCGACCGTCGAGCGCGCGCGCCTTGGGCAGAGGCCTTTTGTCCGGGGTTATGGGTTACGAGGACAACAAAGCATGGAGGCGACTTCCCAGGGGCCTGCAGGAACGGAGTGAACAGCTAACATGTGAGCTGTCGCCTGTCTGGCTCCGCAAGGACGCTTCCCTGGCGGAAAGAAGACGGCTTACTTACGATGTAACCCCACAGAGCGTTCCCCTAGCCTGCAGCCCATCCTGGTCCTCGAGCCGGCCCGGTCTTGGGCGGATACGAGGTTAAGTGGTTGCTCGTGTCATTTCAACAAATCTGGGCAAAAGCCACATTTGCCCAGCCAGCCATTCAAGTTGCGCCGCCGGCGTCATGGAGCGAGAGGGGAGCCCGAGTTGACAATTCTTCAGGGAGATTTCTTGCGCCAGGGAAAAACCAACTATTCGATAAGGAGCCTGTAGTGCTCACTGGCTCGTCAGAAGACCCCGTCATATGCAGGGACTATCCTTACCAAATCAGCGGACTTTGAGCAACAGTCAAGCTGATTTTCCATTGGCACCCTCGGTCCTTGCTGATGATGTACAGCATTGGGAGCAGACAGTGTGTAACAAGTGGAAAGGGGACCGCTGCATAGCAGTCGTGCGAAAGACGATGCCATGCATCACCCAGAGCGCTGGCGAACCATTGTTCTCCCTCGGCTTGGGGCTCCTTGTTCTGGAAGCAAGCGGTGTCGATTATTTTCCTGTAGCGGCTTCCCGGGATGATTCAACGGCATTTCGCCCCCGTCACGCCAGAGAAGAATTATATCCCCATTCCCGCTTATGAGCATTAGTTTCGTTAGCAGCGAAGCTGGTCGAGGTGCTTGACAGGTTCACTTTCAGGACCTTGCTCCCTTGCTTCGTGCAAGTGTTCCAACACCCAGTTAGTATACTCCGTAGTCGCCCAAAAAGCATCACGGATGTGCGGGCATTTTATTTTTACCCCTTCCTTTTTTTGTTTTCCAGGGTTGATGTTCCCATTGCCCCGAGACTGACAAAAGAGTTAGTCAACAGTTAAGTATATGCAGGGTCGCGATTTTTTCCCGTACACAGGGCTGCGAAGATATCATATCCAGCAACAGCCAAAAAATTTAGTCTTTTATGATCCGTTTGTCCACTTGCGGCTTTCTGGACCAGAGGATCATATACCCTTGTAAGGAAAGCCTTGGGAGTGAACCGCCTCGCCTAACTCCAAACTCTTCGCCTACATCTCCACTTCGTAGCAATTAAAATACTAGCGGACGGATGCTCTCGTCCCCTCTTCACCGGTTGGAAGGTTTTGCGAAGGTTGACGATCGCCAAGTCGCCGCCTGCTGGCTGTACTTCAGACTTACTTGACCTTGATCCATTCCTTCCGGCATTCCAGATTTCTTCGATTTCTTCGATTTCTTCTGTCTTTCTTTGTTCGCCATCCGTCGCTGTTCTGGAATTCCCAGCGCCATGATATCCTGTTGACATGGCACCCAAGTATGGCCTGCGCTCAGCCCGCAATCAGCCATGTAACTCGTCTCCGTCCTCGAGTACCGATAAATGGCTTTCGTGGAAGAAGCTGTTGTTTGGCAGCAGGAAAAAGGCCCTAACCTTCGAATCGATCGTTAACGGCTGCACTTGTTCGGTCAGTATCACATATTTCGTTCTGGGCGGTACGATAATCTAACACTCGGTATCTTAGCCCTGTGGATTGGTCGACTTTATGAATTACCTCCTTTATGTTGAACGCGCCGCCGAGAATCTTCAGTTCTACCTGTGGTACCAGGATTATATCCAGCGCTTCGCATCTCTCTCTGAATCGCAGTGGGCACTGTCGCCGCCGTGGACCGAGGAGCAGCGGAAGAAAGTGATCAGGCTTAACAATCGAACGAAGGAGAGAGCAAAGCGTGCTCCTTCTATCACTGGTGCCTTTGTGCCTGCTCCCGCCTTTCCACCTGTTGGGGAAACCGAGCTGGACGATTTGACTCCATTTGCAACCCGCCCGAGCAGTTCTCACATCGACTTTGAAACCAGCAGCATCACCCGCGGAGACTGGTTTGAATGGGATGGAGGATCAAAAGCGGGGGAATGCCAGGAGTCTATCGATGAATCAAGCGCTTTTGACGGTGTCGTCCCTCTTGAGCCATGTACGACTATCAGTTCTACCAAATTATCCCAGCTCTTGCTAACAAACCCCATTTTTAGTTACCATTCAACCACATCGCAAGGAAATTAACCGAATCATATCAACCTACATCTCAGATAATGCACCCCGACAGCTGAATCTGACATCAATAGAGCGCATAATAGTGATGCAGGCTTTATCTGCTACGACTCATCCATCCGCCTTTGCCGGCGTAGTGCAAGAAGTTGAATGGAATCTACGCCAACAATCGCATCCACAATTCCTCCGATGGTCTCTAAATAACAGCAATAGCAGCCGGCTACTGTGTGCTCGTGTATGTAGCATGCTAATCATCGCCTTTGGGTTAGCTTTAGCGATTGTCTTGGTATTCAGCAAGGCTCATCGCGGCTGGAGGATGTTTTCCGCCCTGCTTCTATTCCCTGGCATCGCATCATTGATTGCTGCGATGGAGGGAACCTGCATGGTATGTGCTCCTTGCCAAATCTCTACGCCCATTTTCACAATACTTATCTTGTTTATTTTAGCTATTTCTTTGTTTTTACAAGCGCCAGCTACATCCTTGGGAAGTATACGGCGCAACAAATGAGGCTCCAAAGAACTCCTGTCGACTTGATCGGAGAGCCTTTGATGCTTTCGGATTGACTAATTCCTACGACGACGAACCTTGGAGACAGAAGAACAAGAAAAGGGGCTTCTTCAGCAAAGTTTTTGATCCACCAGTGCGAATTCAGGATCCAACCCTTTGTCAACTTCAGACCATGACCATCATCCGTTCAACGACACTCGGAACCGCGATAACCGGCGTGCTTGTTGGTATCTTCATGACCTTACCAAATGGGAACTATTTCTAGCCGTGAAAGTTTGCCACCCTACTATTGACTAGTACTGCGGTGCAAGGTCCACTTCTGGCTCACGCTACGTACATCGACTCATTTTTACGATTTTTCCTGGACGCCATAACCTTTATTTACCTTTTACCTTCCTCATTCTTCATATTCCCCGTCCATTATCAGTTCCGGCTTAACCATAAATCGGCTGCGGGCATTTTGGCCATTTTTATAGACGTCATACGAAAATCTTCTGGATGGAGGCTTCTTTTTTCTTCTTTTAGGGCGTGTATGCTAGGGGTTCTGGCGCAACGGGTTGGGACAGCTGCTTTTTTACACTTATACCACACTTATACCACGGGGCACAGGGTCATGAGACCGGTTTTATATTCTGACGGCGCTCAGATACCATGGGGTTGGCTTGTATCAATATCCAACAAACAGGACGATTACACATTTTCCAACCACGCTTCGAGTTTGGCAGGGTGAGAAAACAAAAGTAGTGCTTTCTGCCGTCCTCGGTTGCTAGTGTAGATAACTAAATATAATTCCATGAACGAAAGCAAGCTATGTACATATAGAATTGAATACGACCTAATATCCCTCAGCGGCAAATTAAAAAGGGGGCGTGTTATATGTTATACGAAGTACGGAGTAGGGGTGTGTATATATCCTATTTATCCCAAATAGGCTTAGCGTTTTCGCGACGCGCTGGACTTAGTGATGTGGGAGAATTTCCTATGACAAAAGACGATTCGATGTCAACAAAAGCCCAACGGCGACAGCAACTGGCGTGTGGGATGATGCCAGACACTCTAGCGCCCCCGAAAAGACGGCAAAGGGCTGCAGAGTCCGATTCTGATGATGATGAAGCGTCCAACAGGGACCGGGATGGGACCCCGTTATCGCATGCATCCAACGGCAGCAAACGCGTTAAACTAACTACTGGAAGAGACGATCATGAAAGCGAAGCGAGCGAAGAGACTTCACTTGAGGAAGATGACAGTGACGAAGACCGTAAGGATGAGACTCTGGTAATGGGGGGTTTGGGGGATACTTTTGAAAATGTGGCATCCTCGAGTAATGAGCGTCATGGGGGTTCCAACAACCAGGGCAAGGGGAATGCTGGGGCTGGGGGGAAAGGCCTTGAACACCTTCCTGGGTCAATTGTGCGAGTAAAATTAACAAACTTCGTGACTTATACCTCTGCCGAATGTCATCCAGGGCCAAGACTAAACATGGTGATCGGGCCTAATGGTACTGGAAAAAGCACCTTTGTTTGCGCTATCTGCCTTGGACTAGGTTGGGGACCAGCAGTGAGTATATGCAAACGCAACGATTTGATTTCTTTGTGAGGATATTGGCTGACGTTGCTGCTTTGCTGTAGTATCTCGGTCGAGCTAAGGATGTAGCTGAATTCGTGAAACATGGCGCCGACGAAGCTATCATTGAGATTGAGCTTAAAGCTAGAGAGGGTATGAACCAAAACCCGATCATCTGCAGGACGATTAAGCGCGAGGGCAATAAAAGTACATTCACGATAAACGGACAGTCTGTTAGGCAGAACGTTGTGTTATCGCTTGCAAAGTCGTTTTCAATCCAAATTGACAATCTTTGCCAATTTCTTCCTCAAGATAAAGTCAGTGAATTTGCTGCATTATCACCTGTTGAGTTGCTGCACTCCACTCAACGAGCTGCGGCTGGACCTGAGATGGCGAAGTGGCATGATGACTTGAAAGAGCTACGGTCAGGGCAAAAAGATATCCTGGAAGAGAGTGCCAGCCAAAGAGAACATTTGGCAAACCTAGAAAAGCGCCAACAAATGCAACGTGAGGATGTAGAACGAATGAAGCAACGAGAGGAGGTTAAAAAACGCTTGAAATTCCTGGAAATGTTGAGACCTCTGCCTCGATTCAACTCGTGCAGGAGAGAGTCCAGTGCGATTTTGGAACAGAAACAGAGGTTGATGCGAGAACAGGAGGAGTTGAAACAGAAATTGGAACCGGCTTTAAGAGCAGTCAACTCAAAACGGGATTACTATACCCAAGTAGAAGCTGTGCTCAGACAGAAAAGACTCTCTTCTCAAAATGGAGAAGAGGCTGCCGCCGCCATCTCAGAAAAGCTGATCCAGGTCGATGACAAGATAAAAGATCTGAGCAATCAGATCAATGCGGAAAAGAAAAGCGGCAGCAGCCAGCTAGAGGAGTGCAAGAAAATTCAACAAAGTATTAACAGACTCCAGCGTCAAATGGAAGAAGAGGCCGTTGACTTTGATGCTGCCGCGTATAACGAGAAAATAGTGAGTTTAACTTATCCATTCCCAATTAATATATTACTGGTTCTAATGTACTTCGTTACCAGCGTGACTGTGTCCGGCGCACACGTGAAATCCAAGATAAAGCAATGGAGATCCAAACCAGAAAGAAAACTACTATACTCCAAGTGGAGACCCATAGGAAACAAATTGCAAACGCTGAGCAACGGTTGATTGACTTGAAGTCTCAGTCTGGTCAACAAGAGGAGAAGCTGAAACGACTATCTGAGCATTCGTTTAGAGCCTGGGAGTGGATAAAGCAAAATCAAGACCGTTTTGAAAAGCATGTTTTTGGCCCTCCAATTGTGGAATGCTCTGTCAAGGATCCAAAGTATGCCAGTGCTGCGGAATCCCTTTTACAGAGAAATGACTTCATGGCGTTTACGACCCAATCTCGCGCCGATTTCAGGACCCTACAGCGTGCCCTAAACAACGATCTGGGGCTACATGATATAAGTATAAAAACATGTACTGTATCGTTGTCCAGCATGTCACCACCAGTAACTGATGAAGAGCTTCGCTCGTTGAACTTCGATGGCTGGGTGAAGGACTTTATGGACGGCCCAGAGCCCGTTCTAGCCATGTTGTGCAGTGAGAACAGGTTCCATTCAACGGCTGTCACGTTAAGGGACATTTCGGATGAGGAATACCGCAGGTTAGAGAAGGGTAATATCACCACATGGATTGCTGGAAACCAGAATTATCAGGTTATCCGTCGACGTGAATATGGTCCAAGCGCATCAACCACCAGGGTAAGGCAATTATGGCCTGCTAGGATGTGGACTGACAAACCTGTCGATTCGTCTTCTACTGAAAAGGATCTGATGAACTGCGTCACACAATGGAAAGCAGAGCTGAGCGAGATTCTTGCGTCTGGGGCGGAAGAAAGGGATACACTGCAACGGCTTAAGGAAGAACGAGACGCAGTTCTCGGTGAAAAGGTATGATTGTTTATTTGATTTGTTATGAATACATAATCTAACGCATTGGACAGACAACACTTGAAAAGGAAAAGGCAGAGAAGCAGTCCGCATTGGTGAACTACCGAGCTCTCCCAACGAAACTTGGTAAGCTCGCTCACCCCAGTCTCTAGTTCATGTACTACGACTAACGTTGATACGACTCAATTAGCACAACAAAAGGAGAAACTGAAAACCTACAATATGCGAGTGGAGGGTATCAGAGATCGAGTTGAGTCATTGAGAGAAAAGCAAGATGAGCTTGCTGTCGAGAAAGCCGGAGTGGCCATTGAGTACTCTGTGAGTTTGCCCTTGCTTTTTGATAACTAGAATTGAGAAACTGACAATATATTTCAATAAGGCTGCCGTGGTTTCTCTAAGTAACATACTTGAGGATGTGGCTCGTGTGGAGATCCTCGCAATAGAAGCGATGTCCGATTTGAACACATTGCAAGAAAGGAACGCTGGATATACCAGGGAACTGAATGAGAAAGCTGTAGCAGTCGAAGAGGTAATAAGAAACCTGAATGAAATGCGAGAAAAGCTTCGGGCGAGCCAAGCGGAGGTCCGAGCCGTTGTTGCCCGCATGCACTCAACACCTGGGCTTAAAGAGGTTGGCGAAGAGATCAAGAACCACACCATCGAACAGCTAGAAGCGGACATCGACTCCGAGAAGGCCAGACTTGAACTGACGCACGAAGGAAGCAGCAATGTCATTCAAGAGTTCGAGGAACGAGAAGTCCGCATTGAACAATTGAGAGAACAGCTCAGCTCATCAGAGGAAAGACTGGCTGCGATTGAACAGTCTATCAAGGAGATACGAAGCGAATGGGAGCCACGGCTGGACGCAATCGTGGCCAAAATCAGTGATGCATTTGCAGACAACTTCGCACGCATTGGATGTGCTGGACAGGTGTCCGTTGACAAGAACGAAGATGTCGGGAATGACATAGGCCCGGGGAGTGATTTTGACCAGTGGTCCATCAGAATACAGGTCAAATTCCGGGAACACGAAGCCCTGTCTATCCTTGACTCTCATCGTCAGTCTGGTGGTGAGCGAGCAGTCAGCACAATCTTCTACCTCATGGCACTACAGTCACTCTCTGCCTCCCCGTTTAGAGTAGTCGACGAGATCAACCAGGGCATGGACCCTCGAAATGAACGTATGGTTCACGAGCGTATGGTTGATATTGCCTGTGGACAAGCCGATTCAGGTACCACCGGTGGCCAATACTTCCTGATTACACCGAAGCTGCTTGGTGGACTGGTATACAAGCCCGGTATGACGGTGCTATGTATTTTCAGCGGCGAGTTCATGCCTGATGATTATCAACAGCTGGACTTTAAACGGTGCGTGCTACGGATGAAGCAAGTCAAGGCTCAGCAGGGTATGTCTGAGAAATCCCGTGGTAAAAGGGCAATGGTAGGGTGATGTTAAAATGTCGCCTTTTTATTTTCTTCTATCTGACTTGCATGTATACGGTTTATTAATCGAGGGGTGTGACGGGGAGGTACTTTGGATATTACGCATAGATGGCATCCTGCATGATATTTTTATGGAGTCTCGCGGCTCAATCTCTCATCATACGGAGTATATAAGACCATACATACTTTGATCCCATGCTGTTTCGCAGGTGAATCAATCATCATGGTGTTCACTTCTGGAGCCATGGAGCTTCCCTCTTCCCTGGCTCTTGAGCAAGCTCATCGACCGGTCAACCCACGCCTGAGCGGACACGGCGAGTCCGCCGTCTCTACTTGTCTCCCGCTCTACAACCCTGGAGACTTCCTCCCTACGTTTACCAGCATTAGTCTTCATCCCTTCCATCAGCTGGTCGATGTGGGTTGCGATGTCCTCCGTTTCAGGGCGGAGAGTTGTGGCCTGCCATGCCTTCAAGCCTCCTATCACGCCTATATTCCGCGTGCTAGGTATACGCATCAACGTCCTATCGACCTCATAGCCTACCTCCTCAGCGATGCAGACAAGCTTTGCCGTCAGAGAGCCATAGGTAGACGAGGCTGAGCCTGGATTCTGCTGCGCTTCAAGCCTTTTGGCCCGTAGAGCCTTCAAATCACCACTCTGTGGCTGAGGATTCTGCCCGTGCTGACTTCCTTCGTCATGGTCTATACGGCCATTCTCCGCTTCTTCTTCCTCGTCTCCTGCATTCGGTGTTTTTGAGTGTTTGGGGGGTGGATAGCGGTACCTTGCACCGGACAGGCCATGGGAACAGCATGGTATGGCGAGGAAAGGCAGGGGTTGCGAAGGATTTGACAAAACTCCAAGCAAGGGAGTCCAAAGGGTAAGTTCGTCTGCATGGTTAGATATGATAAACGTACCACTCTCGAACAGGCCGGACACAGTTGAATCTTCCGAGTAGCCTAGCGCGTCTTTGTATGGCTGCGGCACACATATGCTCTCCTTCAGCTGCTCCTGGACCCAGGGAGGGAAGATAGACCACGTCTTGCGTGAGCGAGCATCGAAGCCCCATCCGCGGTATCCTTCAGATAGAAGAATGTACACTAGCACTCCGTTACCGCAAGCAATGTCGACAAATCCAGGAAAGTTGGCTCTCATCTTGGGAGCATCTCTCTTCATCACGTCAACCTGCGTGTCTACTATCTGTACTTCTTCGGTAGAAGGGGAAAGGGGTTGTTGGTGATACATGATATTCCATAGCTCAATTAAGAATGCAGCGATGGATAGGTCTTCAAAGACATGTTTCGACGGCTCAGTGACTTCTACCCAGTTTTTGACTAGGCTGTGAGCGTACTTTGTCTTTAGTCTAGTGTATGTGTTCTGTACGGTGTGCTGGGGGATGAGATTATCCTTGAACGGCCTTGGTTGGGTGCCACTTGGGTGTGAGGTTGCAGATGGACCAGAGGCAAGACGGATATGTATGGCTAGGAGGTTAAGCAGGGTACGGTGAAGTCGGTTGGATATAGTAGTTGGTATGCCCTGTGAGAAAGGGAGGAAGTGTAAGGAGAGTGTTCCTCCATCGGCTGACTTGTTGGAGTGGGTGTATAAGAGGGCAAATCCACAGACGACTGGGTGGTAGAATGGTATATCTTTCTCTTCTGCTGCATGAGGGTAGTATACAGCCAGATGAGATGTTTTATTTTCTTCTCCTCCATTTTCTCCTTCTTTGCTATTAGTCTTTGTATTTTGATATAGATGGCATGTCTGGTCGTGGGTAGGGTCCAGGTTTGGATTTCTGGGTATCAGCCTCCTGACAACCACTCGATCCAGCTCAAATCCAGGAAAGTGAGACGGTACTACTGTCCTGCCATCCTTCTCCGGTGCTTCCGTGGACTCACGCCCCTGGTCAGTAGCCAACAACAGGCCGGAGCTGTCGTGGAGGATGTCAGCCCTGAAGAGGCTAGGGGATATCAGGTTCGGATTGGCCAGCAGATGCGTCGAGACCGAGAGAAAGACGGCCGGGCCGAAGCCGAGCTGCGACTGGCTGAGCGAGGGCGCCGTCAGCCAGCAGTCGTCCCCTTCGGCAGCCAGGCAGGAAGACTGCAGCGACAGGGCAAAGTCTGCTGGCGAATGTCCGTTCGCCTAGCATCACCGTCAGCCGTGTGTCCGTCAGCTGTTCCCGGTTACATGAAACTCACCCGTTTTCTTCTTTCTAGGAGCCGGCATGACTACCCCTTTTTTTACTCCCTTCGCCCTTTTCTGGTATAGAATATACTGATATATCTACACCTTCTCTCCTGAAAGGATAGTTGTATATGTAAAGAGTGCATTAGGCCAAGAGCCTTCTTCGTCTAACAGGGCGCCCAACCGCCAACACAGACAGCCGACCGACCACCTGTCCAGTGCTGCAAACCGTCCTAACCCGTCCAAAAAAAGGACAACTTCTTTACCGTCGCATCTCGTCTTTCAACTTGATATACGGAGTATTATAAATAAAATCAAATATAAAGTAAAGAAGTATATAAAATATTAAAAAGAGCGTAATAAAAAGCAGAACAAAAAGTACGACGCCGTACTGTAATACGAGGGAAAACAGTAATCCAAGACCAAAGTTACGGCCGTTACGGAACAATACAGCCCCATCCCGAGGTTAGTCAGCAGCTGTGACGTAAAATACGCTGAACGCGGTGACGGTTTTTCCGTTTCCTGTTTTTTATCTTTCTCTCTTTTTTCGCCTTTTTTTCTCACTTTTTATCCGCCTCCTTGTTGATTGTTGTTATTTTTCTATCAAGCGCAGAGAAAGAGAGAGACAGAAGAGAGAGCGCGCGCAAGCAGGGAAAAGAGACAAAAGCGAGAGCGGACGAAGACGAAGCCGCCGCAGCCGCAGGAGAAAGAAAGCAGACGAAAAGAAAGGCCCAGTGGCAGCAGAGACGGAAGCCAGCCGACCGCAAGGCAAGCACAGAAAGACAGCAGAGACACAGCAGCGAGACGGCAGGGAGAGACAGCAGCGAGAAAGAAAGCGAGGGAGAGCGCGTCGCCCAGTGTGCATCCTCTCGCGCTCCCAGGCCAGCGAGCAGCCGTCCAGACGTCGGTCGTCGACCCCTCGCTGCTGCTGCCTCGTACCGTCGCTGTCTCGAACATTACGATGGGTCGCACCGTCGACCAGGAAGTCCACGCTGCGTTTGTCGAGTTTCGCGCCAAGGAAGACGACAAGGTGAAACTCGCCCCCGTATTTCCTCTGTCTCTGTTTTATATTCTCGTTTTTTATCTCTATTCTTGCCCCTGTATTATCTTCCGTTTGTCTGTCGTTTGCGTCCTGTCCTGTCCTGTCCTGTCCCGTCTTGTCCCCGTCGTGTTCCCGCTCCTGTTTCTGTTCCCGTCCTGTGCTGCCGGCGCTGCTGCCGGCTGCCGCTGGGAGTGGATGTGCAGAGGGAAGGACAGTAAATACCCCAGAAAAACCGTTTAAAAAAACCAAAAAAACACATACTATAAGAAACCAAAAAAGAAAAGAGACTAAGTCGTTGCGGTGATGTGTTCCCCCTTGCGTCTCCTGTAGTGTCTCTCCGTGCAGTGCATCTACTGCCAGCAGATCCGAGCGAAGAACACCAGCCGGCAGAAGCAGCATCTCCTCGAGTGTCCCGCCCTGCGCGGACATAACAACCCGCACGCCCAGCCCGCGCCGCCGCCCCAGCAGCAGCAGCAGCAGCAGCAGCAACAGCAGCAACAGCCGCCCAACGGCGTCGGCGGAGCTGCCAATGGCTACGGTGCTGCGCCAGGCGGGCCTCCGGGGCCTCCGGGCGGGCCGGGACCAGCCACCGCGACGCTGCCGTCGACCAACGGGGCCATGATGACGCCCGGAGTCAACCCGCACGCCAGCGGGATGCAGACGCCCATGCCAAGTCTCCCCGGTCGTCCCTCGCTGCCCTCGCAGGCCGCTCCGCCCTCCGCTCCTCCCTCCGCTGCTGCGGGGCCTGCGCGTCCCCACGGCACGCCCAAAGTCGCCAAGCAGCCCCGCCAGAGCACCTCCAGCCTGCCCGCTCCGCCGCTCGACGACGTCCACGCCGCCTTTGTCGAGTTCCGCGCAAAGGAGGAAGATAAGGTATCTCTCTTTCGTTCTTTCTTTCTTTCTTTCATTTTCTACGTAGTACCTAGCTACGTCTGTGAGTGCCCGTACGGATGTGACTAACTGACCGTTTAGTGTCTCTCTGTACAATGTATATACTGCCAGCAGGTGCGCGCAAAGAACACCAGCCGTCAGCGCCAACATCTGCTGGAGTGCCCTACATATCTCAACGTCATGAAAGACTCCATCCCTGCAAACAACCTGCAGCACACTTTCCCCGAAGGAGACATCGCTCGGTCCCTGCAGCTGCCCGCACCCACTCTCGAGCTGGACTTCCGCATGAGCATCAAGCTCAACCCGTCTGTCTCGCTTGGCCACAGTATCTGGGGCCAGAGGGACTGGGTCACCTTCGTCGGTGGCCAGTGGGCCGGCAGATGGGGCAAGGGAGTTGTCCTGGTCAGTTTATTTCTCTTCTCTCTCTCTTTCTCTTTCTTCCTTATTATACCCGTCTAACTGCAGGACTCCTAACTAACGTCGCTACAGCCTGGAGGTCAAGATTCGCAAGTCGTAGTCAAGGAGCTGGCTACCAGCATGAAATCGTCCTACCTACTACAAACTTCTGACGAGCCGCCGGCGTTCATCATGGTCAAGGCCAACGGCTGGATGACCGGCGCAAAGGAAGTCCTAGAAAAAGTCGCTGATCCTACCATCGCCGACTCGATCAACCCAAACACGTACAAGTACCGCGTCAACATCTCCATGGAAACTGGCGATGAGCGGTACGCCTTTGTCAATACCATCATGTGGGTTGGCAGCGGTTGTCGACGTGGCTCAGAAGGTATGACGGATGTTCTCCCGCTCGTGTTGTTCTATTATAATTAATACTAATGTTGTGCTAACTTTAAATAGTGATCCTTGATGCATTCCGTGTCAACTAGATCAAACAAACAAAAATTAAACGAAAAAAGAGCCTTCTGCCCAACGCTTGGAATGACCCCTTTAGTAATGCTTCTGCTTGTATGGAAATCAGTTATTATACTTACATCATGGCCAGGGAAATTTGGTGTTCGTTCTGCTTTTTTTTTTCCTTTCGTCTCAACATTTTATACCTTATGCCCCCAAAGTTGTCTGGCGCCTGTCTCTCTCTGCGTCTGCCTCCCAACGCTCTAATGTTTTATTTTTTTCGCCTTCTTCTTTTCAACTGTTTTCTGACTTTTTTTCTCGACCCTGAACATGTTTCTTATCTTCTCTTCTTGATACCACTTTTTTTTAACACGCCTTTTTTGCACCTTTTATCACTTTCTTGCCCTAAAGACTTTTTATCCTCTTTTTTTTCACTTCACCCGCCTTATCATCTGAAGGGCGTTTATATGATTCCTCCGCCCACCCTAACTACACCACCTCAACTTTTATAATGCAAAAATGCCACAGTTTTCTCCCCTCTCGTTACCCCGATATTTCATGCTTCCCATACAAACCACCGTACTCCGTACAAACCACCACCGTACGATAATAACGACGCCTGCCGTAAAAACATTCAGTAAATAACACCCCACCCATGGCTCTATACTTACCGTAAGGCACCAACTTAATTCACATCCCCGTACCCCGTACCAGGCGCGTTTAGCACAAAAATACCTACTTACGGAGTACAACTTAACCTCTAATACTAGCTTACCGGTTAGAATTTTAAGGTTTTAAGGTTTTCTATACTCACCTAATTAGCTCCCGTCTGTACAGCGGTAAAAAGGGTAAACGAGACAGACCTTAATTACCGCCGGCTTTTGCATGGTTAAAAATACTGGATTGTTACGCAGGTTTTAGGTACTCCATACACGCTGCTGTACTCCGTAAAACCCCCCCCCCCATAATGTAGGTATGGATGCGGAAACATGCTTATACCCAGTACACATACCCGGAAATCCCCAGAATCTGGGGAAACCCAATACGTAGTGCCGGTATTCGGGAAATCGCTGTACAAGGTCAAGGTGGGTGTTTTTACGTTCTATTTCCTGTATTCTGTGCCTGGTGCCTGGTAACTGATTTCTAGTTACGTGCCTGGCGGGGATTCGTAAAATTCGCCGCTCCTGAGTGGGTAAGAGGGCATAGATAAAGATAGCAACGGAAGTACTCTTGTATTAGTTATAGTAATAATAGTAGGGTTCGCGAGAATAATATTATAGTCTCTAGAGTATAACCAAAAACAGAACAACTCCCTGTAAATACTTACGTAGTTGGTTATATATATGTACGCTGTCAGATCACACGGTTTCTATATATCGTTTTACCTCCCTGTAATACCGGAATGGCGATGTTAGCCAGACACTAGAAAAAAAAAGGAGAAGAAGAATGGAACGGAATGGAACATACCAATCGGTAACGGCCTCTTCCCAAAGACGAATCTCATGCTCTCTCGTCCCACCAAAGTGATCTACAAAATCGTCCCCGAACGCCTCCCTGGCAATACTCTCTTTGGCCGTGAACCGAACAACAGCCTCCTTGAGATTCTTCGCCAGCCGTTCGCCCTTGTCGGCGTTTCCGCCAACATCCTCGCCCTTGGGCAGTGGGGGGATAGGGATATCAAGCTTCTTCTCCACACCGCGCCATCCTAATGCAACAATTGCAGCTAGGACGTAGTGCGAATTAACGTCGGCGCCGGGGACGCGGATTTCAAACCTCGTTCCCTTCCCGCTGCAGGTGGGCGGGGAGATCACTCTAATTGACGCAGCGCGATGTTCGAGACCCCATGAAACCGTTACAGGAGCCCAGAAGTTCTCTACCAATCGCTTATATGAGTTTATTGTTGGAGCGAGTATGGGCATTATATCTGGTAAGCCGACGAGTATTCCTGCAAGGAAATATCGCCCGATATCAGAGATGTAGGCAAGATCGGGGTATGGTGGAGAAGGATCAGGAGAGTCGCGGACGAATAAGTTGGCTCCTGATGCATCAACGAGAGAGACGTGCATGTGGCCGCTGTTTCCGGGGAGGCCCTGACGCGGTTTGGCCATGAAGACCGGCGTGATTCCATATTTTGAGCCGACTGACTTGACGACATATCTGCTTCTTAGTTAGTATCCGTAGCCGTTTTGCATGCATTGCATCGCAAGTGTGTCAGGTACATACTTGAACAAGCCGCCTCGATCAGCCATCGCCTTTACTTCTCCGAATTGCAGTGCCTATTTGCAGCATTAGCGCTATCTCATGGACAAAGAGGCTTGAGCACCGATCTACGCACAGCTTCGAATACACCGGGTCCACTCTCGGTATGCCAGCTCTCAACATCGCAGTTGAATTCGCGACAGGTGTTGAATATCTTGTAAAAATATTCCTGGTTATGCACAGTCCGAGTCAAGCTATAACCAAACATACCCTCCGTCAATGGCTGTAGATCGGTAACCTGGTTCTCTTTGAGAAAACGGGCAGTCCCCGTGGAGTTGCGTTCAAAAGAGTCGGCGGTAGCAGGCGCTCGATACTGATAGAACTCAAATTCCACTTTCAAGCCACATTAGAATCGGACTCTCTCCTTCGGTGGGCAAGATCACATCTTATGCATAGTGCGTATCATACCTCCAGCCATGGCTTGATATCCCTTCTTCTCCAGCCCAGAGGTAGCAGCCTTCAGCAACCCCCGCGGGCATGCTGAGATCGACTTCTTGGACTCTGGATCAAAGAAGCTGACTAGGAAGAAAGGCACATTGTCTTCCCACGGTATCCTTCGGAAGCTGCTCATGTCTGGAACAGCCACCAGGTCTCTGTATCCATTCTCCTTATTGCTTATTCCCAGCTCCTTGAAGTATGTTTGGTCGTGCATATCCCACCCGAAGATGACGGAGCAGAACCCGAACCCATCTTTAGCTATCGAGAGGAACTTCTTCTTCGAAACGAGTTTCCCGCGGAGTATGCCATCGGCATCGAAGCCAGCTACTTTGACCTGGGTGTCGTTTGCGAGGACTTCTTCGAGGCTATCAAGGGATACGGCGTCTGCAGCCATACTGGAGATCTGCCCGCTTCTTTTTGCGACAGTGCAGGGCGGGGATTGCAGCGAACAAGCAAAAAGCAGGGATGAAAGGCTAATCAAGGCGCAAAATAGAGAACGGCGAGCTCTAGTACTCCGTAGTAACGAATAAATCCACCTCAGCGGCCAGGGACAAGCGCAGGTCGCCGTCTCTTCTCAGCTTGATGTCGTCGCCTTCATCTTCGTCTTTCCACCTTCGTTTCGCCCTCGAAGGTTTCCGCCTTTCGTCGCTTCGTCTTCCGCCCGTTATCGCCGAGGCTTATCTCGCCCAGAGTCATGTGTTTGCTTAGTCATGAAGTATGTTAATAAGCAATTTCATTTCATTTCAAGATGTTGATCAAAAGGAGATTTCCAGGATGGACAAACAGCATCTACAAGACAGCGAAGTGGGTGGTAAGTAGAGAGAAGGCACTTTTGTTTGCTCTGCCTGTTTCATGATATTAGTTGGGCACTTGAGATGGCTACGTCAGCGGGCGTAGTTTCCTTGGTTACCTACCACGACTGTTACATGAGGGATGCCCCTTGATCTGGGGTCCAGGTAACGCCAGGATGAGAGTGGGACAGCAGTATCAAATGGACTACAACTCCTTGGGAGACTGGATTATCATGGTTCAATAACACTCTCGTACACCGGTTGCTGCACCTTATCACTACCTATAACCCGTCGAGGTAAAACCAGAAGACAAGTATCAACACATAGTCACCTATATTTTTGCTAGACAAAATAGCCACGATCATTATAATAACCAACTCAAATGCTCAAATGTCGAGTATCAAAATGCCTGCAAAGGAGAGAAGAAGCTTATCCTTATACCGTATAAAGTTGCTCCACCAAGTGGGGACTTCTGCTGCGTCCGGCTCTCGGTTTTGGCTGATTCACCTCGTCTCCTTCTGCCCCTCGTCCAACTTCTCCTGAACAACCTGTACAAGCTAGCCCTTCACACTTCTTTATATCAAGTTACATAGTAAGTTTTGCGCCGTCAGCTATATTGCTCCTTGGTTATAGCGTCTTCCCTCATTTACAGCTTGGTCTAACTGGTATACCTACAGGGCACACCCCGCACTTCAACTCACTATCATTACCATGGCTGGAGGACGTCTTCAAGGCAAGAATGCCATTATCACCGGGGCTGCAGGGTAATTGTTGACTGTCTTTGACTGGATATAGCTTCCTTTTCTTTGTGCAAAGCTAACTGGGCCGTATAACAGTGGAATTGGCCTCGAAACAACCATCCTCTTCGCGCGAGAGGGCGCCTCCGTCCTCATGGCAGATATCTCTGAGCCAGCCCTTAAAACCGCCCTTGAGAAAGTAAAGAAGGCCATTCCAGAGGGCGCCAGAGTTGAGACAATGAAATGCGATGTTTCCAAAGAAGCAGATGTCAAGGCCATGGTAGACTCCTTGGACGCCTGGGGTGGCATGGATATCATCTTTAACAACGCCGGTATCATGCATGCAGACGATGCAGATGCCATCGATACTCCTGAGAAGATCTGGGATTTGACGCAAAACATCAACGTTAAGGGAGTGTGGTTCGGATGCAAGCATGCCGTTGCCAGTCTTCGCAAGAACAAGAAGACCAAGGGAAGCATCATTAACACTGCTAGTGTTGTTGCTCTCGTCGGCAGTGCTACTCCTCAGCTTGCATATACCGCTAGCAAGGGAGCTGTGCTTGCTATGACCAGAGAGTTGGCCATCGTCCATGCCCGCGAGGGATTCCGATTCAACTCTCTTTGCCCCGCTCCTTTGAAGTAAGTGTTGCCGGTGTGATAGATGATTTAAGAGACCTTTTTTGCTGATCTATTGAAACATAGCACCCCTCTTCTCCAGGATTGGCTAGGTGATGATGCTCCAAAGCGCCTTAGACGTGAGATTCATTTCCCAACTGGTCGATTCGGAGAAGCCGTTGAGCAGGCACAGGCCGTTTTGTTCTTGGCTAGTGACGAGAGTGGCTTTGTCAACGGCACTGATTTCGTTGTTGATGGCGGCATGACTAGGGTAAGTTATTGTTTTATTATATTTTAATTCTAGTTACTGTTGCTAATCTTGTGTTAGGCATATGTTACCCCTGAGGGTCCAGCAACTGAAGCTCCCAAGAGCCTTGCTGCTTGAAGCAATGATTATAGAATAATTGCTAGGCTTTAGTATATAACGTTTACATGCTATAAGAGTAGATATAATTTGATAATGAATGCCCACGACACTGTTACCTATTGCGTAACCATTCATCTACTAGTTTACTATGGGCATCACACAATTGGGCCTCCTTTATTCCCTCCCCAAAGCCTCGAGACATGCTCTAATCGCCTTCTAGAATCTGGATAAGCTAAGGCTATCTATGAGGTGGTACTGGTTCTACTTTCAAAGCAATAATCAAATATCCGTAGGGTCCAATACGTGGTTCATGGGATAATTGGCCATCTTGAATTCCTGCGTGTTGTTAATATCGGGTTTGCAGTGTTGGTTATGTTGGCATTGGAAGTGTTACTTTGAAGATTTACTTTGCAGCGTTGATGTTATCCAAAGTATTCACGCTAAGCCTAAAACGGAAGCCTGGATAAGCTCGAACTTGCAGCAAATAACGAAGAGCTTAAGATAGATGGAGAAAGCAGCTATCAAGACTAGAACAGTAATTCAACCGCTTGATACATTGTACCTTACGGGTGTCACTCTGCATCATGAGGTCGGCACGAGCATGGACTAAGATGCTTGTCGGGTAAGTGGTTCCCTGCCTTGTCCTTGAGAGCATTTGCTAACCAGCACTGATAAATAGAGGCTCTATACTGGTTTTCGGAGGCCCAGCACTGGTGGAATACCTGCGTCCTACTGATGAGGAATTGTTCAAGGTACGCACACGGCCATCACGGCCTACGTCCGATCAAGAGGATGGCTGATTCATATCTGTTTTGGAAAACAGCGATACAACCCCGAGATACAGAAGCGCAATTTAGAGAACCGAGAACGCCGACAGCAGGAGTTTGATCATTTCGTGACGCAGCTTAAGGAACATGCGAAGTCGAATAAGAACAGTACGTTATTGATTATACAGATACAGTCTAATTGGGTTATATGATTTGATTACGGAGCTGATGGAAATGTATTTGGATAGTGTGGGAAGCTATCAAGACAGCGGAAGCGGACCAGAAGAAGCAGCGAAAGACGGAAATAGTACAGCCGAAGCAGGATTCAGAATGAGCGGGCTACAGGTGGATATAGCATCGGCTGTTTTTGATTAACGCACTGGCCGGGTGATATGCTAGGGTTGGCCATAGGGTAGGCGGGAAACCGGCCCACGGCACGACGTACGGTTATGCGCTACCATCTTCGAGAAAGCGGACAGGGAGGATGTTCGGATTAACGATATCTTTCCCATAGGTGAGGATATAATGTACTATATGCAACGGTCTGGGGTTGAGTTGAGGGACGGCGTTGGCAGGCTGTTTTGATCCATGTGAAGGACATTATTATATCATCTACTCTCTATTGACTGACGATACGGGTATATCTATCTATCTATCTCTGCAGTTTCCCGCTCATGTACATATAGAATATAAAATAAACACAATGATTTAAGTGTTGCAAAAAGAAAGGGAAATACAGCAGTGAGTTAAGCGTGGGTGACCACTAGAAACAGCCAGAGAAGTGAAGCGTAAGCGTAACTTTAATAACTAATATTTACTATTTGCAAAGCGGTTGGGCCCAGGGCGTATTTGTTGTAAGCGACACAGAGGAAATAGCAAAAAAGGGAGGAATGGAACAAAGAAAAGCAAAGCAAAGCAATAAGCATCTTCAAGGGAAACAAGGTCATGAATATTGCCTAAGACGCGCAGCCACGCCTCTACACTCCGATTCTCCTTTAAAAGCAGCGATGGGTAAGGAAATGGGTGGGAAGAAGGGAAAGGAATGGGAAAGTGATAATATAAGATAGAGAAAACAGGATAGGGAATACAGGTGAGACGCAATAGGGTTACAAGTATGACGTGTGCATGCGTATGTATTTAGTTGCAGCAGAGAGATGAAAAGAAAAAAAAAACAGAAGAAAGTAGAGTGTCGATGATGAAAGCAGATGGTTATTGGGTTGGCTGGGATGAAACATCAGACCACCAGGTAAAATGCATACATATATGTGAACTAGAAAGGAAAGGAGGAAGAAAAAGAAAATACTGAACAGAGGGAGACCGGGGGAGGAGGAAATTGGTTTATGATACCATCCACCATACGCCTCCTGCAATTCCCAGGAGGATGAGAGTGGTCAGGATACCGGCACCTGCTCTGTCTCCGGAATTGATTTCGGATGGCTGCTTCATGGTGGTACCTTGGCCGATACCAGCATCGGGGTCACCTTCACTTATACCTGTCTTGCTGTTTGCGGGACCAGTGCTCTGCTTATTTTTCCAAAGGTTGGCCTGGAAGACTTCCAGAGCACACATCTGTTCGCCAACTCCGGTCTTGGAGGTGCCCCAGTCCGCTCCCTTGTTCCAGTAGAGACCACAGGCGTTGTTTGGGCCGTTGCACTGAAGGGCTGCTGCCTTTGCGGATGCCTTGATTAGGGGATTAAGAATATCCACGGTGTAGGGAGCAACAAGCATGGTTGCGGCCATCCAGCGGCTCATGTATGCCTTGAATGAACGCTGATCATTGTTGCAGTTTCCTTGGGCTTCGCAAGCGACTTCGATCATGACGCCCATGGGCTCTTTCTGGGAGAAGAAAACCTTAGCTCCCTCGATGAGGCCGTCCAGACGCTTTTTCCATTTGGCGTCTCCATTAGTCTATATGCGGACATACATGTGTTAGCAGCTCACTGGTAAGATATGTATTAAAATGCATGGATGTGTTCTTTTAGGGGGGGAGAGAGAACTTACGTGGTTGTACATGTGAGCAGCGCCGAGGAGCAAGATACCATTGTTGTAGGTCCACTGAATATGGTTGATTCCGGAGCAGTTATCGGCAGAATCGGTTCCATCGAAGATCTGGTATGTTGGGCTGATAAGTTTGACAGCGGTCATCCATTCCCATGAGGTCTCAGCCCAGTTGGAATAGGTCTCGTTGCCAGTATATCTCGCCAGACGTGCAGCCATGTGGAAGAAAGCACCGTTGGAAATCGCGTTCTTGTAGTGGTAACCATTGTTGAGCGTAAAGATCTGCCATCGTAAACCTCCGCCACAGGTGTCATTGTCCCAGCGGGCTGCTTGACGGTTGAAGACCGCCTGGACGAGGTACAGCCACTGCGGCTTGTCCGGCGGCGGGTTGGGGAACTTGTTCTCGGCGGCACTCATTGCACTCATCGCCCAGAAGGCCTGGTCATCGTTACCAAGACTGCGGCTTTGGTTGCGAGGTTCGTAGTTGACTTCCGTTCCGACCTGGTGAAGCATCGCCTGCATTGTGATCTTGTTGTAGGAGTCGTCGCCGGTATAGTACCAGTAGTCTATGAGGGCGCCAAACATCGCGCCAGCTTCCCACCAGTAGTAAGGGTCTGGCAGGTTACCGGGAACATCTCCAGTGTGGTTTCCGGTGTAGTAGGATACCATGCCATAGGCGGCCTGGCTGGCGGCTTTCTTGATGGAATCTATTCCCCACGGCAAAACAAGCATACGTTAGCGACTTAATACGACAGCAACAGCAATGTTTTTGACGCTGGCGAGTCCTTACTATCATCGCCTAGATTCAGTTCGATCGATGCCAGGGCCACCTGGGCCCCCAGCAACGGCGTCAGGAGGGACATCCATGACTTGGGAGATCGATAAGAGGATAGCATTGTCGTGATGAGCGAGAAAGGCGAAGTAGAATATAAAAGAAGAAAAGAAAAAAAGCGACAGGCGAGCAGGAAAAGGTGACGTATAGCCCGGCAACGGTGGTGAAAATAAAACGAGAGACTGTGAATAGAGAACTCGATTCAACAAGCAGTCAGCGAGCGTAGCATGCGGTCCAGGTAACTTCCGTACTGGCCCTTCAGGTCATCTGAGCGGCGGAAGTGAGATAGATATTGGACGGGGTGGTTCCTGTCGACTCGTGAGACGCTAGAGAGGTCGGCCTCGACGGAAGCGACGTGTAAACGGATAGGGCTCGTGGCAGCAGAGTGGCTCCTGGGAGTCGTTGCAGAGAAACAGAGCAGCAGCAGAGTGTGTGTATGTATGTTCCTTTGCAGCAGCGGCGGCGGTGGTTAAGAGTGAATTGAGATCCAAGGGACGCGGCGCCTCTGGACGGTCGGGCGGTGGTGGATCTTCTTCTCGGCTCCCTTTGGCTTCCTTTTGGGGTGGAACTTCGCAGCGAGCGTTTTTCCTGCCCTTAAGCTGACGACGATGACGCCAAGCTCGGCTGGCCGCTAACTAAGCAGGGCGGAGGGCGCAGGCTGGCCGTAGGGGAAAGTAGACGGAGGATAGAAGGATAGGAGATAGGTGGAAGAGCGAGCGACGGGTGCAGGTAGATTCACTGCTGCTGCTGCGGTGGTTGGGAGGAAAAGTCGCTTCTCGAGGCGCCCCTGGTCAGCGTCAGCGTCAGCAGCAGAAGAAGAAGAAGACGAAGAAGAAGCAAAAGAAAAAGATGAAGGTTTGTTTCAGGCTGGTGTCTCTGCCAAGGCTGGTGGCAGTGCATGGAAGATGACAGCGTCATGCAGTTAGTCTTAGGTACAAGGACGGAGCAGGTACTTGCATATCAAATCAGGGACAGGGACAGGCAGGGACATAAGTAACTACGGCGATAAGGGTAGATATAAGATGTATATCCGGTGCAACATAGCATAAGAAACAGCATGAGAAACGAGAAGAGCGAGAAGAAAGAGATCGCATGGCCAGGTACTCCGGATGAAATACCTAGCTAGGATGCATGTGAGAGCCGCTTGTGTTTATCATCCAAGCATTAGGATGATGTCCCCTGTATCTTGAACACTCCTTGGTTTATTGGCAACATCCTGCCGGACTCTCAGGGCTCCATTTGTTGCGAGGGTCAGGACGTGCAGCAGTGCCTGCGTCGCGACGATGCGGGAGCTCGACCTGGGCGGGAGAAGCGAGGTGAACGATACCGATACCCCTGAGTGGCTTCCTCCGACCGCCCGATCCTCCTTCTCTTCTTCCTTCTTCTGCTCCTTCTCCTCGATGCGGGCCTGCAGGTACTCGTAGAAGTTGACGGTTTCCTGGTCGAGGCTGCTGCTGCTTCTTAGCCATTTAGGTCCCTGGATACCCCTTCTTTCATCATCATCATCATTAGCATTATCATGGCCGAGGGGTTGTTCCCCCGGTTGGCCGTCTCCTTCGTCATCGCCATAGTGAGCCGCATCGATGCCGCTGAAGGTGTCGATGTCTAGGTCCATCTCCTGGTCACTTGGCAGTAGCTGGAGGTTGCCCCGACCAGCCAGTGGACTTGCACTTGTCAGACGTCCTCGTCGATGGGCGGCAACGGCTGCTGCTGCGTTGGAGGCAGACGGCATCCCATCCGGTCCAGGGCTCACTACAGAACGGGGCCCACCAATGCTTGAGAACACACCTCCACCCGCAAAGATCTGGCGAGAGTACACCGATGAAGCCCGGGCAGAGCTCTTGCTCTTGATGGACGCAGTGATGTTCCATGGCATGTTGGACAGGTCGTCGTCCCGAAGAGACGAAGGTGCCTGCCGGCCAACCTCGATATCCTATGTCGAACATGTTTGTTAACTTGACGCACAAAGATTATCAATATAACTTCAAGGACATACCTCGACTACAAGACCGAGACCCTCCTCCACGTCAACAGCCTCGCCTAGGCCAATTTCAGGCTCGTCGTCCTTGTCCTCCTCCCTGATACGAGCTCTCTTACCCACAGATGCATCGGCGTCCTCCTTTTCGTCGTGGTTCCTCTTTCTACGTTTCTCTCTGCAAGGAGCCCCGGTAAGGGACGCGAGAAGCTGGTCTCCGGAGAACGCAGCAAGTGGATGTAACACTGCTCCGGAACCCAGACCAACACCTACAGCTCCAATTCCTGAGCCAAGAACCCAGAAGGCCGCATTCTTTTTGGCAATGGTGACAAGTCTATTGTGGACCTTGCTTCTAGCGGCAGCAGCCATGTTTTCCGCATACTCTGAATTCCACTGTGCTAGGTCGGAGTTTCTCAGCTCCGCGGGCTCGTCCACACCAAACATCCTGGTGAGCTTCTTTCTTCTAAAATGTGTCTTTACTACTTCTCCGGTCTCCGAGGAGATCTCAGGAACGTTGGAGTAATCTGGATCAGTCACTTGGCCTCGTGGTTGCGTCCCGTCAGATACAAGCAGGCTTCCGGCCATTTCGTCCTGACCGGCATCTATATCATCCATCACAATGTCTCCATCGGGCTATACCAGCATATTAGCAGCCTTGCACTATCAAACAAAAGAAAAACTTAGTGTTGACTCACTTGATGTTCTCCGGTGAGCAAGCCAACTCCGGTGTTTCTCATAGTGCTTAGGCGGTCATCTCTCACTTGGACTTCACTTTCCCTTGGCTCTGCAGTTTTCTTTGGAAATAGCTCGATGATGTTACCGTCACCATCGAACTCAAAGTCCGGCTGTAGCAGAATACCGGCCTCGTCTCCAAAGTAGGCTGGCAGCTCTACTTGAGGCTCCTTCCTCGCACTGCTCATTTCACTGATATATCCAAGGGCATCCCCGGTGTGGAAACCACCGATATCCGAAGATGAGAGATTCAGCTGCAGTTCCCCAGCGGCTGACTTGTTGGAGGCAGTTGATTTTGGCACGTAGCTTGATACCAGGCTGGACTTGCGGGGTGACACCCAATCCAGCCCTATATCTAGTGTTGATAGGTCAACGTTTAACCCGGGAAGCATAAGCTCAGGAATAAATGTTGGATCATGCGGAAGCATGATTTGATCAGGTCTAGAGTTGTCAATCAACATTTCCATAGTGTTGAGGATATCATGTTAAAAAGAATACTTACCTGGCCTTTCCTGCATCAGGATCCAAACTAGCACTGTGGATGACTTTCAACATAGTCCTCATCCTATCCCGCGTGGCTTCTGCGTCCAGAAGTGCATATCCGCACTGCTGATGGTACACTTTCGATACCCCATATCTGTCATCCCCAGTTAGCTATATATGTATATACCCCGCCAAACCAATCCAATATGAGAAATACTTACAGGAGGTTCCCCTGCAGTCTCAATGCCATGGGAGCATCTGGGCGGATAATCATATCACACGCCTTAGGCACGTCTACTTCTAGTATTGCCTTCCTGTTCACCTTCCGAGTAGTTGACTTTGCTCCGAGAGTTGCAACCAGCCTATAAACCCTTTGTAAGACAAGTCTATGCTCGATCTATACGTATAACCAACTCACCACACCGTGGCAACGCCATGCTCACGCGAGGTGAGGACTATGGTAGGAAACGAGTTAGCAGTTGGTCTATTCTAACGTTATACTGGTGAAGTACTTACTTTCGTGGCTGTAGAACATGACGTCTACCTCCTAGATGTCCCTGAACCGGCGTTCTCCTGGCTATGGTCTTGGATGAAGATGATGACTCTCTTGAAGGAAGAAATTGACATGAAGTCGACAAGGGAAAAGGAGAAGAAGAAGAAGAAGAAGAAGAAGAGAAAGACGCGTCGTCCGCATCGGGAAGTGAGGGCAAGACAGCGGAAGGCGGAGAGTCACGAGTTCATGGGACGGCGGCAGAATCATGATTCGATATAAAGACGGATATCTAAGGAGTATAAAGATGTAGATAAAGAGAAAGGATAGAAAGAAGATAGATGAATATAACTATAGCATAGGGAGAGACAAGATGTTGATGGAGAAACCGAATAGATTGAATAAATTGACAGCAGGATTCTATCAGTACAAGCCAGAAAAGCTAGCAGCAAGCAAGCACCATCTTCATATCATACCTTACACAACACAGATAGACAGACAGACAGACCGACAGGTAGCGAGTAAAAATAAAAAGAGAGAGGGAAGGCATTTGGCACCAACTACATAGTAGAGAAAAGGGAAGGGAAAGGTGTAAACAGAGTCTATGGCTGGAACTGTAACCGTAACCGTAACTGATACTGAAATTGAAACTAGAACAACAATAGGACAGGGTAGGATAGGGTCTAGATGGCTTTTAGGTGAAGGTTGGATCGAAGAGGATAGAGGGTTGGTGGTTGGTTAACTGCTCGTGTCCAGGGGTATGCCTTCGTACTCTGAGTATCCTAGAGCGAGGTTCATGTTCTCTATAAGACGGTTAGACATAGCTACTCAAGTAAAATAATGCCAGGGGATTAGACGTACGTAGACATTGAGTTGCAGCGCCCTTGAGGAGGTTGTCGATGGTAGCGCAGACAATGACTCGCTTCCCGCTTGAATGGACGGCAAAACCACCGACTTCGATACCATGGCGGCCAGAGATGTTTTTGACCAGCGGCGCCTCGCCTACGACCTTGACGAGTTTCTCACCTGCGTAGCGATCCTGGTATAAGTTGCGGATGTCACGGGACGCCATGGCCTCTTTCAGAGGGATGTTGATGGTGTGCTGGGGATACGTTAGATAAAACCTTAGAATAAACGAGGTAGGTAGGTAGTTAGATTTGAACATACGTGAATGCCCTGGAACCAAACGGCAACATGAGGAATAAAAGCAACTTCAGCACCGAGCTGAGACCCGATTTCCTTCTCGTGGATGTGATCCGTAAGACTATAGGGAACGATATTGTTGGTCAAATAGTTCACATCGTTCTTTAGACTGGGCTTTGTTCCTGCGCCGGAGTAGCCCGATACACCGAATACGGTAGGCTGGCCGCCGAGGTACGGTACCAAGGGGGCGATACCGACTTGTGCGGCGGTAGCGTAGCATCCAGGGTTAGAGATACGCGTTGCCTTTGCGATGGCAGAGCGGTTAATTAGCTCTGGGAGACCGTAGGTCCAGGAACTATCAAACCTATAGTCTGCGCTGAGGTCAACGATGACGGCTTTCTCCTTGTCGACGGAGTCAACGGCGTCAACGAACGGTTTGCATACACCGTTCGGCATGGCCATGACCCAGCAGTCGACGTCGCCTTGTTCAGCCATGCGCTTGACGTCCTCCGGGCTGAGGTTTTCGTAGATGATTTCGCGCTTGCTGTAGCCCTGTAGTGGTTTTCCGGCCAGTTCACGGGATGAGACGTGTGCTAGGTCTAGGTGCGGGTGGGCGCTGAGGAGGCTGATCAGAGCCTGTCCAGTGTATCCGCGAGCACCGATCAGGGCGACCTTGGACGGCTTGGTGTTGGATGCATTTTTCTTGCCCAGGGGCGGGTTTGGGTTGGTCTGGGTGGTGTATGATCGTTTGGAGGAGAGGCTGGAGCGGGTATATGGTTGCTGCTGTCTGAAAGACCGGAGAGCAGAGGCAGTGCTGGCTGTTGAGAATGCTCGTTTCTGCTGTAGGGGCGTGGAAGCTGAAGGGTTGCTCTTCGTGGAGGAGCCCATGCTGAGATTGCCGAGCATGTCACGACCATTCTTGCTGAACTCGACGACAAGGTTCTTGACCTCGTCTGGCTCCTGGACACCAGACCAGAAAAGCACCTCGCCATCCCGACACAGGCTACCGTCAGCCTTGTCAAAGAACCAAGACAAGTTCTCGTCGTCTTCCTTGACGGTCCAAGTGAGCTTTGGGAAGTCCTTTTGGATGCTGGTGAAGACGTTGTCAGCAACGTGAGTTAGCCACCCGGTCTTGGTGATGGACATGGTAGCCAGGTGAGCGAGCGTAGAACCGGGCTTGGGAGGCATAACAATAGCCAATGCCTCCAGGGGCTCGTCCGAGTAAGCCTTGATCTCCTTGCCCCTGAGCGAATCAACGTATCTGTCGACGGTAGCCCTGGCATCCAATGCCTCCTTACCACGGACAAGAGCGTTCTTCAGAGCCTCGACGTCCTCGAACTCGTCGATGCTGTTCTTCGTGCGCACCTTGTTGCCTCGTCTGATCAGGGTTCCGGCACCGGTATCGGTGAAGAGCTCCTTCTGCAAGTCCGCAGGGTGGATGATGGCCACACTCGAGGTCCGGGGCAGGTCCATGAGCAGCTCCTTCATCTCCTTGATCTTGAGACGGGTGCCGTGGCGAACCCACCACTGCTTCATGAGATGGTCGTACTCTTCGTCCAGGTTGATAGCCGAGATCTTCTCTCCCGTATCTCCGTTGAACAGACCGCCCTTCTCAGCTAGGTAGACTATCTTGAGCGGCTGAAGTTCCCTGGCAAGCTCACCGGCAGCAACATCCGCATTGACGTTGAGGACTTGTCCCTCGGGCGTCTCGGCCATAGAAGTCAGGATGGGTAGACATCCGGCTTCAATTGCGGCCTCGATGGGTTTCTTGTTGACTCCATTGATCTTGCCGACAAGGTTATACTTGTCTTTGTCCAGGTAGTCTGCCGAGAAGACACCCGTCGTCAACGGCCTAGCTCTGACGCCCAACCGCTCGAGCTCCTCGACAAGCTTGAGGTTCTCTTCCATGAAGAGCGACCTAGCCAGGGCGAGCGTCTTGCCGTCCGTGACTCGAATGCCGTCTTCAAACTGCGGCTCCACGCCGGCGTCCTCCAGCATCTTGTTCAGCTGGGGTCCGGCCCCATGCACCACGATCGGGTATAGGCCAACATGGTTGAGGAAGGCGAGGGCCGAGGAGAGCGTCTGCAGGTGTTCTGTTATGATGGCTCCGCCGACCTTGATGACTGCGAACTGCTGCGAGGAGACGGAGGTGAAGTGGGAGAGGTACTGCTGGACCTCGCGCTTGGAGCCGATGTTGCTGAGCAGCTGGACGACGGTCGAGCGGGTCGAGAGGTGAGGCTGGTAGCGAGACGAGGTGTAGCTGCGTCTCTGTCTGTGGTATACAGCTGTCCATGAAGCTGGTGAAGCTGCCGCGAGTCGACCAGGACACCCCAGTCCGGTGGATCGAGCTGCCACTGCCAGGCGGCCCGCGGCTCTGCGCGCAAGAAGGCTCGACATGCCAGCAGTTCCTCTCTTCTCTTCGCTACTTGCTTGCACGAGAGCAAAAGTGCAGTCAATGGTCAATGGTCAATGGTCTGTCTGTCTGTCTGACTGTCTCGTAAAGTCGCAGCTATTTATTACTCACTCGGCAAGAAAGTCGAGCACAAAAAAGGTGGTGGACTCTTTTCTTTTTCTCTAACTAACTAGCAAGCAACTTTAGCTGCGCTTTCCACCGATCTCGGCTTTCTTCTTGCATCCTCGACTTGGTCAGAACTGGCCTTGCATTAGGTGGTTAAGGTGGCTGCAGTTGGGCCATAGACAGCTGCAGCTTTGTCTCTGCTCTACCCTGGCTGCTGCTGCTGCTTCTTCTTCTTCCCGTCTACTGCAGAGCTCACCCTTGTCTTTCGCTGCCCTGGTCGACCCACTGCCCCAGGTTGCTTTTTATATAGAGGTGCTGCAGCCTTAGGGATATTATTACATAGAAAAAGAAGCAGAGGAAAAAGGAAGACCGCATACAGAGCCATTGGAGGAGTCGCTAGTTTAACACATTAAGGGAGTTCGTTGGCCAAAAAAGAAGACGAAAAGGACGAAAGAGGAAGACGGAGAAGAAGAAGAAGAAGAAGAACCCTCTATTACCCTTGGTTCCCGTCCCTAACTAAAGCAGAAGCGACTCCGGTTGAGATGGTTCGTTTTTGGCATTCAGAGGGAGAAGTTTCAAAGAGTCATTGGTATTAAAACAGATCACAAAGGAAAAGACAAACAGAAAGATAAAACACACGAAACAAAATACAAAAAAAAAAGGAAAAGGTCATCGAGCAAAAAGTACCCAGAGGGGAGGACACTCGTGTTCATCCGAGTAGGCCAGGCATCAGCATCAGAATCAGTATCAGAATACACACACACGGGGTCATGGATTTCGCATAGTTGAGGAGGGGGAGACAGGCTAAATAGGAGATTCATGAGGCGGACGAGAGAGCCTTCGCTTGTTCGGTGGAAGGGGGTATTGGCGAAGGGAGAGTCAGTCGGATTGAGAGGATGGTATGCTATATGGACGTATAGATCACTTGTTCTTCGATGCGACGACTACAAGTTGTTAGTCTGGATACATATGTACAAATAAGAAAGAGAAGAGGAGGGACGTACCGGCAGGGACTATGATGATGACGAGCAGGACGATGATGCCGACGATCAGCCATATGCGCATCTTGACGTCCTTCCACCACATCTGCTTCCTGACGCGGTTGGCTCCCCGGCGGAAGCCCTGGGCAGAGACGGCGAGGTTGTCTGTCTTGTCCTGCAGAGAGTCCAGGTGCTCGCCTCGCTGCGAGACCTTGTTGATGTTCTCTCGCATCACATCAACCGTGTCGTCGATTTGCTACAGAGGTCCAAGTCAGTACATAGCTATCTTGAATATACATATATAAACCTGAAACGGGTGCGAAAGAGGAGACGTACGGCCTGCAGCGCTGCTGTCCGCTGGTTCCCTGAGGGCGGCCCATCCTGGCCAGGCTTCGACTGAGATGGAATGTAAGGGTCGTAGGGCTGCTCGCGGTCGGCCATGGCAACGGCGTGTGTATGTGTCTTGTATGGAAGGAAATGAGGTAGCAGATAGCAGGTGGACGGAAGAGAGGAGCCTGCGGGTTGTTCTGTAGTCGGTCGTTGGCAGCAGGCAAGACGGGGGACTAACTATCTATCTGCGACCAGGGACAGACAGACGACGACGGGCGCTGGCAAGCGACGGGAGTGGCGAGGCAGAAGGGGAGGCCGCGGGTGCGCAAGACGTCGAGGCAGTGCAGTTGGACAGACAGACAGGCAGCAGTATAGCAGAGCAGCAGTAGAGCAGCAGTCGACCTTCAGCTTCTTCTACTTCTTCTCTTCCTCTTCTTCTGTTGTATCTTCTGCTTCTTCTTCTTCTTCTTCTTCTTGTTCTTGTCTTGCTTGTTTGTCTTTCTGTTTCTGCGTCGACTTGCGTTTTCTGGCTTTTAGAGTACGTAAGCAGGTCTTGGCGATGCTCCTTTCATTAAAGGCACGTGATGCTAAAGATGAGTAAGAGATAAGTAAGCAGGGGTTAAAGTGGGCGGCCGTTGGGCGCGTGTCTCGGATATACGATTCGCCGCCTTCGCCAACCGCTTTTGCAGGTTCCGAGGTCCACCTTGCCCAGGGGATAAATAGGTAGACGTGTCTTGAAAGCCATCATCATCTATCCATTTTACGTCTAAGGAGAGTTTATCTCCCTTTCCTCCTTCGAGCCCTCGAGAGGCTATGAGCCCGGGTTTGGCGTTTTTGTTGACACTGCATATACGACTCCTACACCAATTACAGACGCCACAATGAGTACACAGGTCTAGCCGCCGGTAACGCCTCGCTGCCAATTCCAACAAGACATCAGCTTACCTCATTCCTGACAAATAAGGTCGACATGTCAATTACCAAGCGGCTAAACGAAAATTCCAACTGGTACGATGGTATCTCTTGCTCTTGATCTCTGGTCAAGCCCTACTACGCAGGCCTTTCTGGCCCGATAGGGCAGAAGATGATCAAATACCGAGTTTCGATTGGTCGATAATTAATACCAGATACCACGAAATTACAGCCACTAGGAGGCATTCCAGTGTTAAACGACCTGCGCGATAGAGCTTCGTGAGGTCTTCGACTTGTTAGACCTCTCTCGGCTACGTCTCCAACCGGAGGAGTGGCGGCAAATCGAGTACCTCTTTGAACTACTCCGTACTTGCCCCATTTTATGCTTCAACTTAAATGTTTCCAAGGCGGCAGACCCCTCGGTAAATCTCATATATGACATTTATGAGTACTTGTTCGACCATTTGGACTCCTCTTCTAGCAAGCTCCAACAAAAACGCCTTTGCTGGAAGGTCAATCTTCTGCTCAAAAAGATACCAACCGTTGGAGAATGCACGTAAAAAGGACCCTCCGAACACAGAGATTAGGCTGTCTAATTGACGGCTCGATAACACACCTACCAGAGCGCAGAGAAGACCAGGAACGTTACGAAGTGGCAGATGCCTACATTGCCCAATGGATTGCGCAGCAGATAAGTTACGACCTCTACGAACGTGTAGAGAACACCAACCTTCCAATGGACGCAGCATATGACCTATTTCACCTCTATTGGACAAGTACTTCTGAAGACCTCGCCTGTCGACACCAGGATGCACTGGAAATCATGGGATACGCTGAAAAGAGCGGACTTTGGAACCATTCCCTCAATTCGTCGATGGACTTACAAAGTCCTACCGAGACCTCACCCGAACGGGATATCCAGTTCCTCCCGTCGAAGCATTAAACCGCCTCATCGAAGCTATATAGGCAAACGATGTGTCAAATGTACGTAGCTTAGTCATCTTCTATCCGTATCTCCGGTCATCACCAATTCATACGGTTACAACGCTTTACTACGCTCTAACCAATCATTTTACACCCCTGCTGCTGTCATTTGACACGATGTCACTAACAGCCGCCTTGTCTCTGAGGAACCCTCTGCAAAATGCCTTACATAACTCCTAGAGCCTAATGTGGCTAACTCTTGTTGGTCCTTTCTCCCTGTTTTTATATAGGCCTCCTCGTGGTCATTGACTGCATAGGAGTATAATGAAGAATAATAATAATCGAAAGCCTAGATAACACAAACCTCTGAGAGTTAGAGTTAGAGACAGGAAAGAGAAATAGTGAAGAGAAATAGTGAAGAGAAATAGTGAAGAGAGACAGTGAGGAGATAGTACAAAGGGATAGTGTGAAGAAGGTGGTGAAGACAGACTGTGAAGTTAGAGGCAGTGAAGAGATGTGGTGAAGAGACACGGTGAAGACTGCGAGGGGAGCCAGATACGGGCAGGCAGTGAAGGAGGAGACAGTGAAGGAGGCCTGGGGAGAGGAATATATAAACCCCCTTCTTCTCCCTCTTCCTGAATTTCTCTTCTTCTTCTTTCTTCTCCATCAGCATCCGCCCTCATCTTCCTCCTCTACCTCCTTCTTTTATCCTCCTTCTTTATCTCTATCCTCGCTCTCCTAGTGGGTATCCCAACATGCACAGCATTTTACAAGATTTATAATATACCCTTATATCACTAGTATTACCTGCTTTTACCACCACGATTGCTTTGCTTCTTATTTATTAGTTGCCTACCTTTACTTGGTATAAGAAGGGAGTCGTACTTCCTGCAAAGGAGCCCCTCTTCCTTTCGGCACAACTAACTGATTAATACTATAAAGGGCCAAGTTGGATAATAACAGATATACATACCTATATATATCTAGTTATATGCCTGAACCTACATTACGCATGTAACTCTATTGTGCTCCTTGAACCTGCGAATAATACAAACACACTATTACAAGCTATTGGCAGGATTCACAGACTCAGCCAAAAGGATTGCCAGCGAGTGCTTATCCTTAGCAACCCGCCCTCCTTTGATAGATGGTTCGAAGGAAATTGCGCAAAGAAATTCGTCAAGCAATTGGTCACAGACCATTTATTTCGGTTTGATGGTTTTCTTCCCCATCTAGAGAGCACAGTCAACGGCTTCTTCGACGACTGTGTTTTTGATAATAAAAAAGTCGCCTATGAACAAGGAGCTAAAGAAGAACTTATTTAACATAGCAACCTGGCTTTTCTACCTTGCAGACAATATGTATGGAGAGAGATACTTACATACCCTCGCGATACGACGGCACGAGCGGTCATTCTCTAGATATCTAGAGCGAGCCAGCTTCCCAACCCATATTCAAGGGTGGGAAACTGGCTCTTGTCCGAGTTAGCGATCTGACTGCTGTGGCCTGGTTAGAAGTCACATTTTGTGGCAGTCAGCGGGCTGCAGTGCGAAACAGGAGTGCGCATACCTACCTGACCTTATGGCTGATACTGTGGTGACTTACTCCTTTCACCCAAGCACCGAAACAGAAGCAATAGCAGCAGCAAGAGACTGAGTCTGAATATGACGACGACAAATATTATTCGTCAGACGTTGAGGTTGACAATGGCGATATCATGCGAGGCAGTGGGTGGTTAACCACTTTAGCATCCCGTGGGAGAAGTAGGCTGCGGTGTGGCACAAAGCGCAAAACAGGCTGGCACTTTTGGTAACTGGAATCCAGGTCGATAACTACAAAGAGGGATATCAGACACATGAGAATCTCTTTCTTTGCCCTGTTGATTGGGCTTCCGGAAGGAACACCACATGGATACATCACAGATGGAAAAGGCAAGCTTCCATGACATCTCTCAGACACCCAGTACAGAATATGGTGTCTGCTCAAGGACAACAAAAAAGCCACGGTGGACGTGGAGGTTGTCAGGTCATATCCCGCAAGGAGCACCCATAGCTACGTTGTTGCCAGTGTCTTGGATTACCAGCACTCTCCAGCAAGTTACAAGATTATACAATGATTAGGATGGATATCTCATTCGTTTATATGCCATCGCCTTACAACGACACGGTCACCACTACACCTGCGGGGTGTGGCCGCCTGCAGGGTAAAACCTGAGGGTGGCCCTCCTCCGGTGTGACACCTGCAGAGAATCGTCGAGGGTTGTATGCAACAACAACAACAACGTTATCAACAGACATATGGAAAACGGACGGCATAAGGCTCGGCGGTTTTACCTGGTGATCACGATATACACCGTCACCGTTTCTGTCCCTGACTGCCCCTTACCTTGACCAGCAGCTTACTAGCTGCTTCCCAAGTGTAGGCCATCTGATAGTTGGCCTCTATGGTCAAGACGGGTCTTCTAGGTAGTTATTGCAGTCATGTCAACAATACCGAAAACACCAAGGCGCCACCGATGACCTTGAACAGCGCATTCGCGTTAATTAATTATCTATACATTCACCCCTGTTGCTTGCTAGTTCACTAGCTGGGGCAACTGACTGTAGGCAGGAAGAGTTATTTTTGACATTTTGGCCTTTTACTGATACTCAAAGTGGAGGATATCATATCGTTCTGCCTGCTCCAGGGCAATCCAGCTCTCACAGAACACATGGATGGCTCAACATGCTATGTTAACAAGCCGGCTCTTCTGCAGAACCGTACAAATGATGTGGACATGGGGGATGAACACATTGCACGACAACAATTTCACCTTGCGGGTATCTATACAACCCTTTCATGATTGAACGATCGATCTTTGGAATGATAAGTCCACGGTATGGATGTCCAAGGTGATCGGATCCCAGTGTATACATGTATATAGCTATCAATTACATGACTGCTTTACCCTGTTACATCTTTCTCTTTCTCTTCCCCTTTCTTTTATAGATACCTAAGTACTCCGTATATCGTAAGTGACTCGCTTCTGCTCGCCAACGGCTGGACTTCAGACTCCGGCCAGACCGGGTCGTTCGTATCGCCACTGCTCCCTCTTTTAACGCCCGGCTTTATATATAGTTCGTCTAGCTGTCTGTCCAACGGTGGTTGACATGACATGATCGTCTCGTTGGCTGGGGCCGTCAGGGGCAGCCTTGGGCGATACGAGCAGAGACGGAGACTCCAAGCGGTGCCTGGCAGGACGAGAACCTAAGCTGCCGTTAGCGAGCCTATCACCGTCGATATCGGGCAGAGTTAAGCCTCTCAAGGTGCAAAGGAGAGGGACAGACTTGGGGTTGTACAGGCTGTAGAAGTGGTAGAAGTTGTACAGCGCGAGTCTTCTTCCAGGGGCTCGTCGTCGCACTGCAGGCTTCATCTCAGATTTATATCTATCTCTGTCTCTGTCTGTCTTCTGCTGTAACTGTGGATGCCAGGAGTAAATAGATCAGCAGCCCTAAGCGCGCATCTCAAGCAGCCGAAGCAGCGGAAGAAGCAAAAAATAAGGGTCGCCTCCTGCTCGTCCTCCTGCTGTGTCGGAAGTTCCTCTCGGGGTGGGCTCTTCTTCTTTCTCATAGCCGGCATCCATAGCTATAACTGACGGACTGGCGCCTCGCTCTCTATCTCCAACATCCAACATCTACAACATCTGCCTCTTTGCTCTCTCTGTCTCTCTCTGCCAGGCTGGTCCAGCAAGACGTCGGCTGGCTCCGCTGCAAAGCCGCTCGCACTAACTAGTTCACTGCCTGCAAGGGTTGTCGCGTGGTCGCTTTTTGCTTCTTCTTCTTCGTCTTCGTCGCTGAACGGACGGACAGACAGACAGACAGAGAGCATCTATCCTCGACAGCGCCAGCGACATCCTCGCCCGTCCGTCCCCTGTTGGTCTCAGGCCTGACACTTAATTTATATTAACGGCCGGCTCGGCGCTTTCGCACTATCGATTTCCTGCATCTCACCCTGTTCCCCTTTTCCCTTGCGCTCGCTCGCAGTTCGCTCCTCGTCTTCTTCTGTGCTGGACTCCGGGCGCCCCTCGATACTCCGTACAGTTAAATAACCATCTCGCAGACCAGGGAAGAAGACGACACGGATACAGAGCACACGACTGGCAGATGGTGGCCCGGTGATATTTATATATACCTGCTCCTGCGCTTGCCGTCGAGAGAGACGGAGAAATCTATCTGTGTCTCTCTCTGGCGGGGCCGGCGCATCGCCCTTTGATCGCTGATAATAACTAGCGACGATCGAGATCGGGAGATCGAGAGATAAGACGTTGGGAGCCGCATTGGAACCACCAAGAGGAGGACGGGCTGGCTAGTGACGACTTGGCTGGTTACTATCACAATAATCCCGTTGCTCAGGAGAAGAAGAACAACAGCTAGTTGCATAGTCGACGGCATGGCCTACCACCAGGCTCGTCCGCCGCCTCGTCGTGGGCCGCCGCCAGGACCGGGACCGCAGTACGGCGGCAGCAGGCCTCCACAGCAACAGTACTACAACTACAACCACAGCTACCAGCAGCAGCAGCAGTACCAGCAGCCGCCGCCAGACAGACGGCCTGCCTACGGTGGTCCTCCTGGTCCTCCTGGTCCTGATCGCCGGCAGATGAGCTATGACGACGGCTACTCGGGGGGTCAGCAGGATCCCTATGGCCGCGGTGGTCGGGCGATGTACGACGATGGCCGTATGATGGCCCCGAGCAGCAGCGCCGGCAGCAGACCACCTCCACAGCCTCAGGGCTATAGAGGACAGCCACCGAACGGACATCACCAGCCGCCTCCTGTCCGTCAATACACTGCCACTCCTCGTAAGTTTTACATTCCAACAGTTACAGACATGTTCGGAGCATAGATAGTTATAAGTTATAGTTGTACTGACTGTGCTATAGACATCCCCGAAAAATCCCCAGAGCTGAAGAGCTCCTTTGACAACCCGTTTCCTACATTCCCTCCCAAGAAGCGCGGTAACTCGATGGATGGCCTGCAGAAGAAGATGAGCGCTGTCGAGCTCAACAAGGCCCCAAATCGCGCAGAACCCCCTATTACTCGACCGCATACTTCAAACTCCAACCGCCCGCCTCCCTCGACCTACCACTCTGAGCCCCTTCCAGCAATGAATCCTCGTCAGCTGCCAAGTGGGAATCAGCCCATCCAGCGCAAAGCTGTAGCTCCTCTGACTGTTGAAACAAACCATCCCGCTCCTCCCCGGCAGGATCCTCGAACTGCTCCGCCTACTCGAAGTGCTACCATGCCTGTCAGCGTGCCCGCCCCAATGTCAGCAGCACCAGCACCAGCAGCAATGGGGATGCAACAGAAACCCCTTTACCCTGGCAAACGCGCCTGGCAGGACCCCGGCCTTAGCCCTCCGCCTCTAAGCCCTGCTCTACACCCACCACATCATCACCCCGACACATACCCGGTTTCATCTAGGCCGGGAACTGCTGCTGGTGTAAAACCGGAGCTAGTCCACCCGAAGCACGCCGCCGCCGAGCTCGAACCTCAGGTTGCTGACAAAGTAGACTGCGCTGCTGAAGACGAACTCAATTACTTAAATGAGGATCTGCTTAACGACTACTATGATAACACCGACGCCAATAACAACACCAGCAACGGCAACCACAACAACAACAACGACAATAATAATGAACCGGACATGCCCAACTTTGGTGCCATGTCTGATGACAACGCTTCCTCGTCGCATGCGGAGACTCTGATACCGTTCGAGAAGCCTAGGCAAGATCTTCCGTCGTCTTCGTCCTCCATGTCGGGGCCACAGCCTACCTATGCGGCCTACAAGCCGTCGGGAAGCATGCATTCTTCTCCCGACCGACAGGGCCCTCCGAGCGGCCTTCCAAGCCATCTCATGCATGAGCGCGCTCCGTCTCCGGCGTACAGTCACCAGGGTGGCTATGGCGGCCAGCCCAGCAATGGATACTATGGCAGACCAGATGCTCGAGCCATGACTCCTGTGCAACGTGGCGGCTACGGTGGCCCTGGTGGTCGAGGAGGATACCCTCCGCAGCACCAACCACCCCAGCAGTACCATCAATATGGACCTGAGAATGGTGGCAGGGGTCCCTATGATGGCAGGCAGGCTTATCCGCCGCGGGATATGGGCTATGGCGACGACCAGTACGGCGGCTACCAGGGCCAAGGACCAGACAACCACCTGCACCACGCTCCTCCCGCTCCCTTCCGCCCAGGCCTTGACCAAGGACCCAAACCCACCCCCGTCAGGCAGTACACTAGCACTCCACAACCACCACCTCCATCGCAACCTGGCCAAGCTTCTTCTGCATCCTACGGCGCCAATACCCGCCGTTCATCCCAACCAATAACCCTCGGCGAGCTCCACGCGATCCAGCAAGCCGCACGAAGCAACCCAGGAGACCACGCCCAGCAGCTTCTTTTCGTCAAGAAGCTCGTTGAAGCTTCAGTCCACCTAATCGACGAGAACGGCCGCACCGACGCAAAAACCAAGGCTAAGAACCGCGAACGATACATCATGGAAGCCTATAAAACTGCTAAAAAACTTGTCAGCGCAGGATATCCGCCCGCAATGTTCTACATGGCCGACTGCTACGGCTCCGGCCAGCTCGGACTAGAAGTCAGCCCCAAGGAGGCCTTTAGCTTGTACCAGTCTGCAGCCAAAATGGGCCATGCTGAATCCGCCTACCGTCTCGCCGTGTGCTGCGAAATGGGCCAGGAAGGAGGCGGAGGTACTCGGCGTGATCCCATGAAAGCAGTACAATGGTACAGACGTGCTGCTGCCCTAGGCGACCCTCCAGCAATGTACAAGATGGGCATGATCCTTCTCAAGGGTTTGCTCGGCCAACCCAAAAACCCACGCGAAGCACTCTCCTGGCTGAAGCGTGCTGCCGAGCGCGCAGACGAAGATAACCCCCACGCCCTACATGAATTGGCCCTGCTCTACGAAAACCCTCAAGGCAACGACTCCGTCATCCGCGACGAGAACTACGCCTGCGAACTGCTCCACCAAGCAGGTGAATTGGGCTATAAATTCTCCCAGCACCGTCTCGGTGCTGCATACGAGTACGGCCTCGTTGGCTGCCCCGTCGACCCGCGACAGAGTATATACTGGTACACACAAGCCGCGGCGCAGGGCGAGCATCAGAGTGAACTCTCCCTCAGCGGGTGGTACTTGACCGGTGCCGAAGGGATACTGCAGCAGAGCGACACAGAAGCGTATCTGTGGGCTCGTAAGGCTGCCATGGCCGGCCTTGCAAAGGCAGAGTATGCCATGGGCTACTTCACCGAAGTTGGCATTGGTGTTCCTTCGAACTTAGATGATGCAAAGCGATGGTACTGGAAAGCATCCTGTAAGTCTTTTCCTTCCTACTTATTATATCATCCCTGCTAACACCCGCCTAGCGCAAAATTTCATGAAAGCCAGAGAACGGCTGGAAGATCTTCGACGAGGCGGAGCAAGAATGCAAAAGACCCGCGTGTCCAGATCCGCCGTCAATAAAAACGAAGGCGACTGCATTGTAATGTAATTATTTCTCTTCTCCCTTTGCTTGCTCCTTTGAGATATCCACTTCCCTTCATCTTGCATGTATGTATCTTGTTTCTGCACAATGCTTTCTCCCTAGACTTGACTCTGCATGCCTCGCTTGGATAAAACCTCCCGATTGATGAGCATTTCGTTAATGTACCAACCTATTGCATCGCTTTGCTTACATGCCCGGATGCTCGTCTGCTTATATTGTCTCTTCTTTCACTTCTATATTCATGTCCGCCCACCACCCCCTGGTGGGGATTAATCATTTACTTTCCCTTCACCCTTGCACATAACCATTATACGCCTTTGCGATTTCTTTATTTCCTTTCTCTCTTCTTTTCTAATGTCTTTGCTTTCCCGCCTTTCATGACCCTTGGTATAAATTCATGATTGTGTACTCTATCATATCCCCCCTTTTTTGGTCATTTGGACTCCATTCGTGAGCGTTGGATTAAATTGCTTTAAGTAGGGGGTCTGGATAGGAAAGTATTTAATGCTATTATCATTTCCGAGTATCTTGCAAGCAGTCGTGTGTATATACTTAGATATAGGCATAATACCATATGTAAACAGCGGATGACTTGGCTACTTTTTGAATACTTCTCCCTTCGCAGAGAAGTAAATGCACTGGTTGGCCACGTAATCGAATATGTGTGCTGATATATGCAAGCGGAATAATACTGTATTATTCCATGTCTATTCCTTCACGCTGGTATAGGTACAGTACATAGGTTCAAGAAATAACGGAAAGCAGTTTCGGTTCGTAAGAGAAATAGTGTACAATCACGATTGCTGAGGCAGTCCTTCCTTCACAAGGGTAGTAACCTTCTGCTCTATCTCCTTATCGCTCAAGCCTGATATACTCGTTAGTTCAACCAAGCCCACGCAAAAGCTATATATCGAAATAACATACCCAAGAGAGTTTCCTGCTTCTCCTTTCCGAATTCTATATCCATAACGTATTAGCTGTATCCCACACCCGCGCATTATATCTTCGACCGCATGGGACGTACCGTATCTGGCAAATACCCGTGGCTCGACATCAAGTGCCTCCCGTATCAATATCGGTACAGATGGATTGTTCTTCTTCATGGTGGGGTATGCTCGTTTAAGAAACGCTCTGCAGAACATACACCTATCAGCGGACCGAAACCTCATGGCCAACTTCTTCAATGGGCGTAGATATAGCGCTGTTTCTTACCTGGTGGCATCGCCGTGTGCAGAGGAGTGGCAGAAGAGGAACCGGAGCTCCTTGAGGCCGGTGGTGAAGGCGTATCGGGAGGCCATTGTGCTAGGTATATAGACAATCCTCCGCTCGTTCAAAAGGGCCCGGTTCGTCTCAGATGGATGTGTGAAGGCCTCAATTGAGCGTATCAACTTGCCGTCGCCGTCTTTTTGTTGCTTCGTTTTCGATGTTTCGACGTCCAAAAGTCGCAAAGTGGTAGCCACGTGACTCGGATGATGACTCAGTTATTATGTCATCAAATAGCCTGCGGAAACCGGAGAAGGAGTGAAAGATCGCGGCAGACGAAGAAAGACGCAGACGACGAGGAAGACGACGAGGATTTGGACTTCGGGGCTCTTTTCTTTCTTTCGGCTGTGTATTATATCTCGTTTGCCTAGGGCTGTTCGGTTGTCCTGAGGCCGTTTGTTTCTCGTGTCTATCTATCCTCTCCGCCCATATTCGCTCCGAGCCGGTAGCTACAGTCAACATGTCTTCGAAGATCGGATTGCGTTTCTTCCAGAACTCCAGGGCGGCCTTTCAGAATGCCACTGCTCGTTTCCGAGCACAGGCTCTCCGGGCCCGACGATTCCAGAGCACTGAAGCCGGTGCGGCCCAGCAGAGCTTCCTGCAGCGATCATGGAACAGCCCCATCGGAATCAAGACCGTCCATTTCTGGTATGTCATTGGATACATATATACAACTATATTCGCTTACTTGAAGCACGTCGCTAATTTCTATTGTTGTTATCGATAGGGCTCCTGTTATGAAGGTTCGTTAAACAGCCGCAATTGTCAAACGCGACTCTACACTGCTTTGATACCAGGAACAAAATGGCAGCATTGATGCTAACTAGTGGTTCACTCTATAGTGGATTCTTGTTTTGGCCGGTCTCTCTGACATGGCTCGACCCGCCGAGAAGCTTTCTCTGACCCAAAACGCTGCTCTGATGGCAACCGGAGCAATTTGGACTAGATGGTGTCTTATCATCAAACCCAGAAACGTCCTGTAAGCATTTGTTTTTCAAAACTTACATTATCAAAGCTACTGCTAACATGCTGAAATGTAGCCTTGCAACTGTTAACTTCTTCGTTGGCTGTGTTGGCCTCACACAAGTTACCCGTATCTTCATGTATAGGCGGTCTCTGGACGGCTCTGCTAAGGAAGCAGTCAAGGACTTGGCCCATGAGGCAACAGACTCTGCCAAAGCCGCTGTCCACAAAGCAGAGGAAGTTGTGAAAAGGAAGTAAAACAAACACTAGATGGACCTGACTGGATGGCTGCTAACTAGACTTTGTCATTCTCTTTGCAAAGTTTGGCAATGCCTCCTGATTTATTTACATTGCCATGCATCCCTGTGCTCTTCTTGTTCTTCTTTATTTCATTGGGTGCATATTATGTCATATAGTTTCTCCTTTATACACAGGTTTGTTCTCCAACAGTTGGCATTTGATGTTGACCTTATGTATGCTGAATACTAAAACGTTTAATTCTTTGAACTCGAGGACTTTCTTTGACATATATAGAGAGGAGGGCATGACTGCAATGACATTTATCTAAAAGGTATAAACAGTGAAAGTATCAAATAGTAAACAATAGGTAAAAGGATGTATATAGCCAAACGGGGTAAGGGGGAAAACGTGTAGAAGGAATATATATACCAGCAAAGGAACACAAACAAAAACATCACAACTCCAGCCTAAAGACCAAGATTAGTACATATAAACCACCAAGTATAGCATGTATAAAACGCAAAATAAACAAAAAAGAGATATCTGCCGGGTTTCATTATCTTCTCTTTTTCATGACTTCATCAGTGTTTATGCTTCATTCCCGAGGTCAGCACTGGAGACGCGAGCACCCGCTCCCAGTCGTGCAGCATCTCTGTATTCACAGTCGACAACCTGACCTCGCCTCCGGTTCTGGCAATCATCTCGTCTTCATACGCGGATATCGAGGTGGCTTGGGACGAGAGGCCAGATACCGCGTCGGTGACGGCGTTTACAAGCTTCGCAGCGTCGGTGACAGAGTGGTTGAGCCCCTGACCGCGCTGGTAGGTCATGGCATGAGCAGCATCGCCAGCGAGAGTCACTCTGCCGCCATGGTTGTTCCAGTAATGGCCCTCCGAGCCTGGGTCGAAGTCAGTCAGACCCATATACCACACCTGGTGGTCGTCTGCTATCCATTCAAACGCGCTCTTCCAGGGGTCACAGAAGTCTTTGGCGAAGGACTTGACCTGGTCAAGACGCTGCTTGTTGGACCAGGGAGGACGGTCCGGTCTTGGTTCTTCCAGGCTGTATTTCCATGAGATATAGGAAGAAGAATGGTCCATGTTTTCGGGGTCTGTCTGGATCCTCGGGCGTCGTGGCATGCCGGAAGAACGAGAAAGTAGCCCTGACGGGAATGGATGCCGGGCGGAGATAGAGAGGGTGGAAAGCTGCGGA